TTTTTTTTAACTGAATGAGAAGAAATGTAAGGCCAAATATCCTCACAAACAACGCTTAAGTGAAATCAGTTTGCAACTAAGCAGTTCGAAAATTTTGCAACACGTCTGGAGAAAGACGTTCCTCGTGACGCTGTAATTCACTAGAGTAAAACGTCCGTTTATTATGTTTGTTTTTGCATAATAACTGCTATACATACCGTAGAAGCACCTTCCTTTTTGTCATCGCCGCTGACAACATGCGCCATTCTCTGCGGCTTCGGCCGCATGCTTGGCCACAAGTCACCGAAATCGGGATACATAGCCTTATTTATGAATCAGTAGTAGGTAAACGTTGCAGAAGTGTATGTATATTGTTCATTGTCAATGCTGCTTAAACAACATGCCTAACATTAAGTCAACACTCGCCTGCATTTTCGTCTTTTCCGCTTCGCGTTGCGAATGATGTCTAGGCCTACACAAAACGAAAGTAAAATGTGCGCATGTCTAAATGTAAGGGAGATCACTCGTGTTTTCCCGCAGTATATGTCTGAAATCATTCCGAAGGTGTTGTTGTTTTTGTGTATATTGAAATAAAAGAGTCCTGTTATATGGTAATACTTCAATAAACGAAAAACACAAATCACACCAACAGACATATAAAATGTAGGCCTATCGGAGCATATTTTCGTTTCTGGCTGAGCTGTAATTAGCGAGAAGGCGATATAAAAATGCAATAGCATATCTTATGATGAAAATAGAACAAAATGATAATACTGCGAAGGTAAAAAAAGCCTTCAGGTTAGAATACCAATATGGAACTAGAGAAGGACAGTGGCTAGTTCTAACATGATTCCCGGTCTCATCTGCCCCGGCCGGTTGATCCCATTTTAGTTAGGCAAGCCTGGTGTGAATCACACGGAGGCGATTTTAGAATTAATTGACAGGATCCGTATCCATTAATAGGTTTGTAATATGAACTTTTTATGTTGATCTCCTACATAATTGTAAGTTATACTCCGCCTTATATTTCGTTAAATTATCAAGTTTACGTAACAAGTGCAAGCGAAATCCTAATTGACTGCCATGTTGGAAACTTCCTCAATCTTTCCGATATAGGTCAGACGTCTAAATATGGGTGTCATGACCAAATATGGAAATTGTAGTAAACATGACCGCATCAGTAGTAATACTATATTTGGCCGTGAAGGCCATATAAGGAAACGGATAACATCACGCGTGATCTAACATGGCCGTCGTTTCTTTTTTTAGAGTTTTTAGTAAGGATTTGTTATTTTAACGATGAACGAATATGCAATATTTTGATAACATTATAATCATATGAAGCGTGAATCAGATATATTATTACTGATTAGCACTTTTGATTATCCTCAGTTAGTTGGAACAGGACCGCTTCATAGCTCTGACCACGCAATATATAATTGTAAACAGGGACGTAAATGTCACCAATTTTAGCCAATCACAGGACAATATTTCCGTGTAAAGGGTTAATCCAGCGACAGTTCCAAGAGTAAATACGAAGTTTTAGAAGGATACTTAGTTCTAACTAAGAATAAGATTATATCCAATGACGTTTGAGTGAACTTGAGTCCGTGGTAATGGATTTTATTTGCAGTTTGTTTAGTATTACTAGAAGGTGACGTTATGTCTCGTTTATGAATATCTGAGCTCATTAACTGAAGTATTTTTACCGGAAGTTGCGTGTAGCATGCATGACCTACATTCAAGTAGCAGTTCCCGATTGAGATAAACAGGGTGCATTTTCAATAAGAATACGACGTTGTGATAAGATCATATGTTCTATAAAGAAAAGTAATGATATTTACAAGCCATTCAAGTGCATTTGAGTCCAAAGTTACGCATAATAAAGACAGTAGGTCCGGTATATGATTCAATTTAGTACCAGTGACTACCGCTAGAGGCCGTCTGTGTGAAATCGACATTTATGAATATCTGAGCTCATTAACTAAAGTAATACCAATAGCTGGCGGCTAACGCCTTAGCTAAAAACTACCATGGTACCAATGCTTGGAGTGGGAACCAAGGGTGTGAATCAATCGATATCAGTCAAAACACAGGTTGGAAACCTCTCTGGTATTGTCAGACTTAATCAACTATTTATTTATTCATCATTCGATTTAAATCTAAGAATACAATTTCTGTAGGTAAATGCTCCAAAAGATGCTATATATCCTAATATCCTTTTAGGTATCTGATATGTGCTTGGCATTTGATGATTACAGTCTATGCTTAATACACCAACACTCATTACTCTCAGTCCATAATACACTTGATCTCGCCGTGCTTGAGGGTAAAGAATGACCCTGTTATCAATCCCTGCCGGTCAAGCTCTGCAGCAACTTTTTCTCTAGGTTCCAAGTAATGCTGAAAGTAAACACAAGATAATGGCTGATCACACTGTGTTAAATGACGGAAGGCATTTTATATGAAATTGAAAATCATGTGTAGTAACATGTGTGTAAAGGCTAAAGGCTAGAACTTGATTCTGGAAGAGTTCATCATCTCATGTCATTTCATAACAATTTTAAGATTATGATTTTCATTTTACAATGTCTTACCCAAACTTTATGCAAAATAAAGATTTTCCCAACAAGCGCAACATCACGCCAAGTTTGTGTGTATTGGAACCATGGGAGAAAGTTAAAATATTGTAATATATTCCCTGTTTGCAAAATCAAAAAACACAGAGTGTAAGTAATGAGAGAATGGGGAGTAAGTTTAGACTTTGAAACAGCCCAGTTTTTGCAGTGGGGAGAATGCATGGGGAGTAAGTTCAGACACTGTAATTGTTCTGGATAACGTGGAGTTATTACTTACCTCAAAACAGCCTAGTTGTTTGAAGGTTCCCCAGTGGATTCCAACAGAGTTTGTGGATTTTATGTCAATGTGGATCTGGACAGCTTCCTCTGGATTAACATGCTGAGGGTACATAAACCACCTACAACCAATAAACATCGAAGTGAACAAGAACCCTCAAACACATCCACTTATCTCAGTATTTCACTTTGGCAGCAATGTGACACGCTATTATCATCTCTGATCTTGAACTTCAGATCACAAACCTATGTTTCGTATTCAACATTCTTTACTAAGTACTCTCAAAGTCATCAAACACAAACCTTACAAGTTTCAGCATATAGAAGTCTACGACCAGACAATGCATTGCAGTGTATTGACCTTTGACTTCTTGTTATGACCCTGACCTATCATAGGGTACAGAAATATGAGTAGTACAGGGCATAACACACAAACTCTGGTACCTATTAAAACTGCTGACAACTCATAAGTTACATGTAGTCCGGAGAAGATCCAAACGGACAGTTGGCAGAATGCTATAGAGTATTTCTAGTCATTTTTAACCTCAGTGGAAGATACTACAAATCCTACCAGAATTCACAAGAAAAGAGATGCAAAGTTACCAGACTCCTTATCTATCTAATATGTTGGAACAATGCACAGGGGCCAGACTCGAGCTACAATATTTGGTAACAATGGACAGGGGCCTGATACTATCTTTTATGATGGAAATATGCACAGGGCTCAGCCACTACATTGTATCTATTATGGTGGACCATGGCACAGGGGCAACACTCTTTTATGTTGGAATAATGCACAGGGTTCGGACACTATCTATTATGGTTGACCATGGCACAGGGGCCAGGATCTATTGTGTTAGAACAATCCCAAGAGGCAACACTATCTGTTTTGGTGGCACAATGCACAAGGGCAAGGCTATATATTATAGTGGACCATGGCACAGGGGCCAGGCCCTACTATATTGAAACTATGCACAGGGGTCAGACTCTATCAAATAATGGAACAATGCACAGAGGCAAGACTCTTTCTGTCATGATGGAACTCGACAACGAGATCAGATGCTATTTATTATGGTGAACAAGGCACTGGGGACTGTCACCACTGTATTTTGGTGACACAGGGTCAAAACTTTTTTCTATTATGTTTGAAAAAAATACAGGAAAAAGAAATGTATCATATTGGAACTATGCACAGGAGTAAAATTCTTTCTTTAATTGTGGAACATTATGCACTGGGGCTAGACTCTTTCCATTAATTTATGGTGGAACTATGCATGGGGGCGTATTATTCATTATGATGGAACGTCTTTTTTTTTGTTTTTCTGAAAAGTGAAATATAAAATAATTTATAAACAAACAAGGTTTTGGTAAAAATGTATAATTGTTTACCTCGGTTCATATGAACCTATGGGAATGGCAGCGATTGTAAAGGGGCCATATCTCTGTCCAATCTGTTTAAACCCTTCACAGTAGCCTGTGTCTCCAGTAAAGAAGAAGCTGTGATTAGGTCCTTTAACAACCCAGCTTCCCCACAGAGACTGAAATGTAATAAATACAAGTACCGTACACATTTTGTGGTCTTCTTTCCTTCAACACATTTAACTCATCCACCCTAGAAGACACATTTGAACTCTTCTGATATAAAGGCTGCAATATAGTTCATTATAAAATTTCAGGGGTGAAGGATACAAGCTATACTACATTCTATTTTTGTGTAAGAGTTATCTCCCAGTTATTGACTCATTCACCCCCCAAGACACATTTGAGCTCTTCCAAATCAAAGGTTGGAAAAGTTCATTATGAAAGTTCAGGGATGGATGAGTTAATTTTCCATAAGCATTAAAATTAATTATGTCTCAAGTATTCTGATGAACACATCATTGTAACCTTTCAAATGGGTCATTCAGTTAATGTAGTCTAACTATCATTCATAAAAGATGTTGAACATACCGGGTATATTTTTTTTTGTGGAACTCTCTAGGGAAGAAGGTTTATTTCATACTTCGGTACCACATATCCTTTAACAGTCATTGACCTAATATTTGATAATCATTCAGTTTCATCAGCAAGAGTTGTGCAGGCTCAAGTTTTATACAGGAATTATGAATAAATTTAAATCTACACTATAAGGATGTTAGAACATTTTGAAGAGTCAAACAAATACATCTTATGTTACATTTGTCTTCTCATTTTATTTCTACTGCTCCTACCTCCGAAAAAAAATCTTAGAAATTAGCTGCCAACTCCATGTTACCTTTTTCTTTAAGAAATAAGTATTTAATGCTCTGTTTAATGTTTATTAGAAGATCAGGATTTTTTCTATAATTATTTAAAGTGCTAACTGAAAATCAAGCTCTAAAATTTTGGATATTCATGGCCTTCACAGTTTCAGTTCATTATCGGACATCTCAATATTTTGTGTATTTGTGGTGCATGCATGATGTATCCTTGTGTTTAAACAAAAAGTTTTTGGTACAAAATTACGTTATTAGTGTTACTAAGAGTTAATTCTATTAAAAATGATTTTGCAAAATCTTCAAATTTGAATAGCTCAACAATGACTAGGGTCTGGTTGTTCAAAAGATTATAAGTTTAATCAATGATTAGTGCAAATTATAAATTTCATGTTATCTTAAACTTGCAACCAATACTTGATTTAAAACTCCAGACTGGATTTATTGCCAAAGTAAGTTACATGCAAGCAAGCTAGCTGTTAAACAGTAAGTATGTTGACAGAATTATTAGAGGTGGTTAAACCTTGATTTAGCTTAATTATCACCTTATGAACAACTGGGGCCAGATGAGGTACACATGGCACTTTAAAAACAAAAAACATTCCGCTGACTGACAGTGCTCGCAAATTAAATTATTTTCTGTTAAATGTTGAGTGTTTCTATTTAATCTTAGGTAAGGTTTGATATTGCTATTATAAGTATGTTTACATTAAGCAACAGTCCAATCATGAAATACAAACTTTATTTTCATCATTCCAAGATCTTCTGGACCAGTGTTGGGTTGGTGTAAAGGCTACAGTTGTCTCCCCCTGTTTTCCCACAATTTTCTCCTCTTCCCACCAGGATAATTCAGTCACACGACCACACCCCATACTTTTCATCCATGTCTTCAGTCCCATTGGCACAAACCAGTGTAGACTAGGGCCATATTTGTTAACCAGCTGTTTTACAGATCCTACGTCTAGATGGTCATAGTGGTTGTGACTTATAACAACAATGTCAAGGGGAGGCAACTCCTGTATCGTACATGGTGGCGCCCTGTACCTCTTGGGACCCATTCGCTGTGAGAATGAACAGCGGTCACTGAAAATGGGGTCAGCAAGGACAGTCAGACCATCCAATTGAACCAACACAGTGGCATGACCAATCCATACCAGCTGGACACAGGATGGGTCAGGGTTTGTAATTTTTTCTTGGTCAAGCTTCATTAGAGGGAGGGTCACATCCAATTCCTTAAAAGATAATATATGCACATATTCGAAAATTGTACTATTTATGATTGGGAAAATATTCATTATGCCATTCATGGAAAGCATTTCATACCAATCAACATATAACTATTTGACACAATAAATGAAATGTGTACTTGTGGTCAAAGTATTGAAACTCCTTATCAGCAGATAATGTTTTAATTACATTAATATAATTCCAAATTTGACCTTGGACTTTGTTACAAGTTCTGTGATTGGTTGATACATGTAATTGCACATGTGACCCATTTGAGTTGTCTCCCGTTGCATAAATGAAACTCATCTTGAAAAAATGTTGCTAGATCTTCTATCTTTGTCTTATCGTTTATTATCAGTAATGGAATTTTTGAAAATAAATAAGTTGAAACTACAGTAGAACACACCATTTTTTACAACTGTTTACTATGCATTGCTACAGCAGAGACGTATATATACTGGCTTTATATGTCTCTGGCTACAGCCAATCATGTGGTGTGTAAGTAAATTTCCCATAGTTCATGCTAGCATGAACATTAGAAAAATCCAGATTCCCCGACACCAGACTTAGATGTCACACCAGACATGCACCTATCTGTCTGTCAAAATCTGGTGTCAGGGCCAGTTGAAACTCAGGCTACTTTTATTTCTGAAGTTAACTATAATTAACAGTAAAACAGTTTTTTCATATACAATACATGTATTCTAAAAAATACATAAACTCTGAAAATGCTTAGTAGTTTATTAGTAGTTTATTAGTAGTCAATTTTGTCTAAAATACCAGACTTAAATAATTCCGTGAAAATACATTACAAGGATGAGATATGACTTGTGAGATGTACCTCTTGGCTTGGTATGTTACTTCGATCAATATCCCTGATCTTGAACTTTAATAAATTCCATAGAGAAGGTTTATGCCAGGATTTCCAGGGATTTTCAAATTTTCCATTTTTGTAAATAGGCTTTGTAAGTTCCATCTGGTCTTGGTGCTGGGTGGTTTCTCCCTCCATTACTACTGATACTGTATTTCTCAATTATAACGTCTAAAAGTAGTCCTTCCGGTCAGGGAATTTCTTACTTATATCCATAAGAGGCCGTTGGTCGGCCTAACATATTATACAATGTTTTGATGACATTTTCGCTGATGTATCGCTATATTAATTACTGCAGTACAGCAAACTATATTGAATTGATGATAAGGAGATTTTTTTCATTTGATGATGGCCTTTTGACACTATTGTCTAAAGGTTATTAGCTAATCCAGTTTCCAGGACGCATCTGTGAAAGCATTTTGGTCCAACACCTTCGTAATCCAAACCGGGGCCCCATCACACAAACTGAAACTGAAAACAGAATCAGGGTGAGGACAAAACCCGGAAAGCACTCAGGCGTGAAGATTATTTTGTTGATTATTGGTATATATTAGGCTGTATCTCCCTCAATACGTCTTGGATTTTTATTCGGAGAACAGTCTAGGAAAGATTATTTTATACCCGTTACAATAATATAAGTTATGCGTACCATTATCTAATATTGGAAGTGAAAGTGGTGGCCGGAATGAACCACTATGAAATAAATATGGCAATATTTTCAACTGGTTTCGTTCTGATAAATACTCATATCTCGAAAAATGCTGAACCGATTTTTGTTCGGAAACAACTCTGGTCAAGGGAATTTTGCACTTGTTAATATGATACCAATTTTTTAAACACATATTTCATATTGATCGCAAAAGTGATGGCCGGAATGAATCCAAGTCGTTTAAAAAATGACGAAAAAAATCTAACTTTCTCGTAAATTTCTGTCTTTTTTAACCCATTACTCGTTAATTGCAGAACCGGTGTTCGGTGAATACTCGAAGCAAGATAATTTTATAATCTTTAAGCTGATATAACTTTTATTAATATACATCACAAACTCGATGCAAAAGTGGTGGCCGGAATGAACCACTATGACAACACCAGTAAAATGTTAAGCTAACCAGCCATTGACCATGTGCAGCTTGTAATTTTTCCCATGGTAGTTTGTAATCAGTATTTTCATTGGTCAAATAAGAAAAAAATCTCTGATATAGAATGAATAATTTTCAATATTTCACTGGTAAAAATGTAATTAAATCTTTCCTTCATCTAAAATAATTAAAAAAGAAAAATTCACAAGCTGCTGTTTTGCATTCCGGGTTTTGTACTCGCCCACAGAATCATGGTTTATTGGAGGTTTTGAACTTCCGCTGTCGCCTTCCACCGGTTGGACCGATTGAACTGCAATGTCAGTTCATAAATGAAAGACGGGCTAAGGGGTCTAGATTGTGTAGTTGTTACTACCAAAACTTAACAAACACTTTACATGCTTAGGTTATTATTTCTACAGCCCATCTAAGTTAATCCTGAAGATATAACACTTGGAGTCAGAAAAGCCGGTTGATCCGCATAAACAAAAATTAAAGCTCCCTTTTAAGCGTCTTACTGATAAAGACACTTGTAAGGGTAAGTTGAAACCATGTGCAGTCTGGACATAAAATGTTGATAAATATATATAGGCCTATCTACATTAACATTAATCAAATAACATAGAACGACAGCTCTTCAGTTGAAATATTTGCTACTACGGCATAGCAGGCTTTTATAACCAGTTATATTACAAAATCGTCAACTTGATAAATTTTGAACAGGGGGCAAATTAAGACCGGGGTATGAGCACAAAAAACTAACATATTAATACAAATTGGCGTTTAAAAGCCTTTTTCAGGTTAAAGAATTTAAAACATGACATACAAAATATTTCAAACCGTGTCGACTGTTTTGGTATCATAGGAATTGAAAAAAGGGGAAAGGAGGTAATTCAACAGGTACTACTAGCCTACACCTTAGCTGCGATAACCAGATAACGTAGCTTTCTGACGACGAGAGATTTTTTTTTATATTGCGTCGTCAGAGGAGGCCGGGTTTTTATATTAGTACTAACCTATAATGTAATCAAGGTTGCTAACTCTGTCCCCAGAGTAAAACGATCCCGTTTCAGAAAACATGCAATTTTTTTCGTTCATAATATGATGCCAGGAGCAGTCTAGATCGTCAGGAAAATATTTTTTATTTAATTTGATGTATGATTTGCCATATATAATGGTATTATTTTCCGTATCAATTCGTCCTGGCCCCCTAGTAGTTCCGGCCCCTACCCGGTCCGTCCTTAGTAGTTCCGGCCCCTTAGTGGTTCCGGCCTCACTATCTATAGTGTTTTCCTTCGATCATAGATCACCATTGAACTATTTTTTATGCATGGATCGAATTTTTACATAAATTTGGATATAACAGTTTTACATTTTGCTAAAATGAAAAAATATATCTAATAAGTATAGCTAACATTTACATTATGATGAAATATATCTAATATTTTGAACTAAAATATATACTGAATGGTATACCTGATTTATAACGGGACGTCATGATAAAATATATCTAATAAATATAATCCATATCTATACGTAATGGTATACCTAATTTATAACGGGACGTAATGATAAAATATATCATTACTAATATATACGTTATAATTACAACTACTAAGACATGTACGGCAGTTGTCAGACATGATGAATGCAATGAATTTTCTGTCGAAATATGTTCCTTATATGACAAAATTATTCTATTCAAGTTGCCAACTGTCTGTTTATTTGAGATCATACAAATTTGCATCTTCACACTTGGAAGATCGATAAAGGGGTACGGGCCGGAACTACTAAGGTCGGAACGACTATGGACGGGACAACTCAGGGGCCGGAACGACCTGTATTCTAATTTTCGGTAGAATTCATGAAACATCAAAAAATGGTTGAATTTCAGTTGGTCGGACACTGTGCTGTCCTCGGGATGACACGCTAAATCCCTAGTGGGTAGCGCCTAACACACGACACGTACACTATTCAATGTCAGTACAGTGTTTCTACGATCAGAAACAAACTTACATGTACTTGTATTATTCCGTTTTTTGCGTATTGCAGAGTTATCTTCTCTTGTGAGCAGGTGTTGATTGTTAAGTCACTTGTTTGTGAGAGTAACGTCATCAATTTTTGAGAAAACGACATAATTTTCTCACTCAAACCAATGACGTAACAATCAATACCTGCTCCCAAGAGAGGATAACTCTGCAATACGCAAAGACGGAAAAGATCATGCCGTTACATTATCATGTTGGACACCCGAGTCCATGGAGGTTTCAAGCTGGTCGGGCTGAGGATCTTAAATCTGAACAAAGCCTGTCATTTTCTCTAACTTTTGTGACCTTGGCGCTGATTGGCCTCTAAATTTAACGGACCAATCTGACCATATAAGTTTGGTAAAATTTGTTACCAGTTGAAAACAGGTGCATTGATATACCTATCTAAAAAAGCTCTATGTTGCTGAAAATTTGATCAAATTTGATTGATACACAATTTTGCATAAAGACAGCACAAGAAATCACCAAAATAAAAGAAGATATTACTGCTATTTCTATCTGTTCATTTTCCAAAGTGTATTGACCGGAGACATTGGTTGTGTATTGGAAGCATTGTTTCAAAATGAGTATTCAATATTCATAAATAAAATATTTAACAAAACATTGTTTCCCTTTTTGACAGAAACTTGAGAAAAATAACCAACAGTGATGTCAGTTCTTGGTGTAGGTCTTCGACGCATCGTTCGCCCTGTTTCAGTGATGCGAAGATGTTGGTCTGGGGCGAAAATAGTGTGTCCTAGCAGATATACTGTGAAAAGGACACACGTACCTTCTAGTTTATGTCGACATCTTTGTGACCAAAGGTCACCGGAGCACCTTGAGGTGATGACAAATGAAGAACAGGAAGAGAGCTGTCCAACAGAGCAGGAGGATGTTGAAGATCCTGAAAAACCTCCAAAATCCTTACCGTTACCCTCCCAGGAATTCCTTGACCTTTTGAACGATCGTCAATTGGACCATTACAAGACTATTTTAGATAAATACGAAAACTTTTGGCGTATCAAATTTGATGATGTGAAGGTATGTACAAAATCATTGTAGCATAGACATTGAGTGGATTAGTATAGATTTACTCCTTGGGCCAAGGGGACACGATTCAGTATAAACAGGGTGACTCTTTTAGGGCTAAGAGGTGAGGCCCAATAAAGAAAATTGAGGTTAATCTTAAAGACATTCTTCTTTCCTGGGCATAAAGGTATTTTGTTCAAATTTGCACTTGAGCATCCTTGGGCCGAGAGGATTCATCGTTTTATAAGTGGATGATGTGGTCTTCCTCTGAGGGCAGAGGAGGGGAGCCCAATAAGGGAAATATATAATCTGTTAAATCCTTCTTCATGGATGAAGAGATGGTAATCAAATTTGATCTATAGCATCAATTGTGAGGCAAATACATCCATATTACCAGGATTTGTTCTGCCATTTCTGTCTGTTTCCATCTCTGGGCACTTAAACCCTAATTTGTCACAACATGGAAATAAATGTAATCCACACACTGATGTAGCCATTGGTTCATGTAGAGATAAATATACCCCTGGAAACTTAGTTCCTGGAGCATATTCAAAACATATATATATGCTTGTGTAACATTCACGTAGATAAAATTCTCAAACAGCCCAACAACAGATTAAGGCAACCCATCAAATAGCTAGCCATGTGCTGTCAATTTTGCTACGAAATATTCCAGGGGTGCAGAGAGCAAATAATTGCATAATTCCTGGAGTATCAAGGATATTGGCAAGTCTATCCCAGGTAAAATTGAGGTAATTAAATGTCCGACTAATTGAAATCTGTTTGTAACCAACCGAGTTACTGGTTAACTATAGCTAGCTAGCCATTGACAACCACCTGGCCCAAAAGGTGCAGGTTGATGATAATTGACCAGAAACATGCTGGTATGAAGGGCTACCAACTTTGTTCAAATTGATGACCCTGACCTATAATAAAGGTCACAGGGGTTAATAAATTTAAAATCTTCAAACAGCTTCTGATGAATAACCATGAGGCCCAGAATGTTGATATTTGGCCAATATCATGCTTGGATGAATGGCTATCAAGCTTTTACATTTGAATGTCCTTGACTCGCTTTCAAGGTCACAGGGTCAAATATGCATAAGCATTTAAATGACCTTATCTCAATAAACAAAAGGTCTAGGGTAGTGATATTTTGCAAGTTGTATGCTGAGATGAAGGGTTATTAAGTTTGTTCAATGTAATGACTTTGTTCAACTTTCAAGGTCACAGGGGGCAAATGTTTTTAACAGGTTCTTTTGAATGGCTCGGTCATAAATACTGATATTTTGCCTGTAGCTTTATTTTACATCACTTTTAAGGTTACAATTGTGAGATTAATACCAGGTGAGTGATGCAGGCCCATTGGGCCTCTTGTTCTGTTTTCTAGTGATACAATTTATTTGCATTATGATATTTTTCAGCTACGCCCCGATATCATATTGTTGGCTAATCCATGGTTGCTATATTTAAATTACATGTAATATCTTGCCAAGGTGTATTCTCTTCCTCACCACATAATACGTAAGCAGAAGTAGGCAGAAATTCTATGATGAAATGTTGAACAAGGATAAATCAATTGCATTGCTTTTCCAGGTGCCTTCTGTCCTGAAAGATTCCAACTGGAGATTCATCCTCGGATTTGGGACATCTAAGACATTACAAGTTTTAAGAATGCTTCATAGCAGGGAGGCAAAGAAAAAACTGAAACGAGAAACAAAACCAAAAGAAAAAAATCAAAACGTCATCATGCACAGTCACACCTTACCAAACAAAAGTTCACAGAAAGCTTATGATATCCTGAAGACATACAAGGCCATGGAGTATGGCCAACAGCTTGTGTTTGACCTTGGTTTTAAAATTGATGCTGAAGTAACTCACATTTTTAGGGAAGAGAGACGAATCAAAAAGCAAATAAACCAAATAATACATGACAACGCCAGACAAAGATTTCCATTTCACTTGGTGTTCTGTAACGTAAATGAGCAAACTCGCAGTATGTTGGAGGAAGCGGCTGGTGATATTCCCATTACAATCACAGATCAGTGCTACCTGAGCATGTTCTCAAGGAAAGACCTTGTATACCTTTCCCCTGACGCAGCGACCGAGCTCGAAACTTACAACCACAATTGTGTTTACTTAGTCGGTTGTATTACAGACCTGGAAACCAAGCCGTTGACAAAGAGCAAGGCACAAAAGCAGGGTCTCAAACATATGAGTTTCCCTATCAGAAGATACCTAGGGTGAGTTGTAACATAACAATATACTTTATTATGATCGGCTCATATAGGAAACCTGACCTATAAAAGCTCCAGATGCAGATACTAATGACGAGAAGGGGTTGGGGGTGGTGGGTGGTGGGTGAGGGATGATGTCTCTATATTTCAGATAATTTTTCCTTAAATCAAACAAAATGAATAATTTTGTTTATAGAAAATAAAAAGTAAAAGTAAATCTTCTAAAGGATCCATTACAGGTAAAAACACCAGAGAATCCAACTGTAAAAGTTTTCATGCATACATATCTTTTAAGTTTCATTTTGGAAATAACTGTAGTGCCATTGAGCTTATGGTATGGTGTGTTGTCTGTCGTCCGTCAACTGTCAACTTTTTCTTTAAACAAATTCTTAAAAACTTTATGACCTAGGGTCATTATATTTTGCTAGTATAGGTACCTGGGATGGAGTGCTAATAAATGACCTTCACACACTTTCAAGGTCACAGGGGTCAAATATGTAAAGTAACCTTTAAAGAACTTCTTCTGAAAAACCAGGAGGCTCAGAGTGATGATACTTTGCCAGTAGGTACCTGGCAAGGAGTGCTCTAAAATATTCTCAAATAAATGACCTTGACCACTTTCAAGATCACAAGGGTCAAATGTGTTCAAAACCTTTAAACAACTTCTTCTGAATAACCATGCATCGGAAGGATTTTAAGATGTCAGTTAGGCATGGAACATCGGTTGATGCTGAGAGATAGAGCCAATGTTTAGAAAAAGTTGCAGTCGTGTATTTAATGAGAATATTTTCAATTGGTTGCTTAATTATTCAGGTGAGCGAAACAGGCATTTTGGGCCTCTTGTTTGTTCATAATGTCAAGGTCACAGACGTCAAATAGGACTGTTTAAAAATTCATGCTGTCATTGGCAGGAAGGCTCCGCATTTGTCAAGATAAATGACCTTGACTTACTGTAATTACCGTAACTAGCACCCCTTCCTCTCTTTCTGGAGGGACTTTGATTTACAGTACTTATTTATGTCACTGATCATAGCCGAACTTAACATGAAGTGGATGAAACATTAGGTATTCTAACCTTCAGTCACACTGGAATGTTTAGTGTCCTTGTTTTTTTGTTATGTAGCAACAGTTTAAGTTGCACAACTTGGTCCATCAAAACTCAGTTTGTTTTCCTTATTTAAAGCTATACCCCTATTTAAGCTAATGTTTTAAGTGCCCTGGGCACTAATTAAGGCGAAATAGGGTACTTTCCTTGTTGCATGGCTCAGATATAATATATACATTCAATCAATATAAACTAGACATAGAAAAGTCACTCATATTAAATCATTTCACTGGATGTGCTGAATGAGCCTTTACAGCCTAATTTTCATTTCATTTTGCAGAAATATAAAGTCTCGTATCCTAACTCTGGACCAAGTCGCTAATGTACTTCATGACTTGAAAGACACAGGTGATTGGATGACGGCTTTAAAACACGTTCCTAAGCGCTTCAGACAAACAGAAAACAACAGTTCCAGCATGAAGAAAAAAAAGAAAATGATTTGACAGTCCAAATAAACTTATTGATTATTGGTCATTTTTATATATTACTACCCCAATACAAGTTTGCTTTGGTATGTACTCCGTAACCATGGATACAAAAAGTGCATGGGTATAGATGCCCTTAGCCACGGTTCATTTGACTATTGCTGAACAGTATAGTGCTGCAATGATATATTAGTATGACATTAAATTCTTATCACAATAGTAACAATACTGTGGTCACAATACGATAGTTATCATGATACATATATACATGTAGTAACAGTAGAAGCAAAGAGAAAAGATATATTGCAAATTTTTAATGGCAATATTTCAATAGAAAATAAGACTTCATCAATAATGGGCATGACTTAAAAGTTTCACACATGTTACGTCTTACAACGCGTATGCTGAGCTGAAGCTGTCACTCGCCATATTTGAAGGGATATGTGTAGACTAAATTCAGAAAACAACAAAATCCAAAAAATACCGTACATGTATAGGTGTATTGCGACCTCCCAAAAAATATTGTGTATTGTACCGTATTCAAAATATGGTGATATATTGTTTCGGCCCTACTGAATAGATATTTAAGTTTAAGAAAAAAAAATTATCAACTTTTAAAACACAAAAAACTTGTGAGGAATCATGTCCCACTAGTAAACCAAAGGTCCTAATGTCACGCTACCACAATTTGTACAGTGTCAAATTTTTCAGTAATATTTGAAAATCCAGATTTCAAGTGAATCTCTTAACATGATGTTTACTTCACATGTGACCCTTGTACATTAGTGTTACCAATGTATATCCCTTTCCAAAATTGCCTTTATTTCACGTATGTCATGGGAGTATATAGTGCTCCACAATGTGGTACTGTTGAAGATTGTAATGTTTTTTTTGTATAATTGTGTCACTGAAGTGTGGAGCCGCATATAAACATTGTATTTTATACAAAACTTTCTATTAAATTCCAAAGAAGCGTAGACAACACAGCAGAATCTTTGTGTCAAAGCTTTGTGTTTTTAATCAAGAATAAATTCATCTATAAGCACCAGGATTCTGTCTTGTTGTCTTGCTATCAGTGGGACTCTGTAAAAGTATCATCATCTGAATTTCACCGGATTTTCAACTGCAAAGGGACGGTGTCTCAAAAATCCCTAAAGTGAAAACTTTCTAAGTCAGTAAATCTGTGAAGCAAGATCACAGCATTGTGTGGCATTTTTAATAAAACTCCACACAGACTACATGTATATATTAAGTAAGTTGATGGAGAAAAACACCTGCTAGGACTTAATATAATAATAAATCATTCATAGCTAAGAGAATCGGCAGTGTTGCTTTCCATATTAACTCCAAAAGAAACTTATTAAGTGATTCATTATTTGCATGACAGAATAATAAAAACAGCATTACGGTTGTTACTTAACTGACACAATTTAAACCTCACTAGTCTGTGTTTTGAGATAAAAGATATTACCCAAAAAGTCAACCTCAGAAAGTCCAATACCGTATAACGGGTTATTAAGCGGGCTAAATGTTTTTGCAATTTTGACACAAAATTTCACCTATCGGGTATTATTAGTTCATGTTCTAGACATGTGAAGGAACTAAATTTCTGCGGTGATTTGGAACAGAGACAGGACACTCGGCACATAAAGTGTCAAATAGTCGACAGAGACGGGACACTCTGCACATAAAGTGTCAAATAGTCAACAGAGACGGGACACTCAGCACATAAAGTGTCAAATAGTCGACAGAGACAGGACACTCAGCACATAAAGTGTTAAATAGGCGACAGAGACGGGACACTCAGCACATAAAGTGTCAAATAGTCGACAGAGACAGGACACTCAGCACATAAAGTGTTAAATAGTCGACAGAGACGGGACACTCAGCACATAAAGTGTCAAATAGTCAACAGAGACGGGACACTCCGCACATCAAATGTAAAATAGTCAACAGAGACAGGACACTCCGCATATAAAACTCAGCACATTAAGTGTCAAATAGTCAACAGAGACAGGACACTCTGCACATTAAGTGTCAAATAGTCAACAGAGACAGGACACTCTGCACATAAAGTGTCAAATAGGCGACAGAGACAGGACACTCAGCACATAAAGTGTCAAATAGTCAACAGATACAGGACACTCAACACATAAAGTGTTAAATAGTCAACAGAGACAGGACACTCAGCACACAAAGTGTTAAATAGTCAACAGAGACAGGACACTCTGCACATTAAGTGTCAAATAGTCAACAGAGACAGGACACTCAGCATATAAAGTGTAAAGTAGTCAACAGAGACAGGACACTCCGCATATAAAGGGTCAAATAGTCAACAGAGACAGGACACTCAGCACATAAAGTGTCAAATAGTCAACAGAGACAGGACTCTCCGCATATAAAGTGTCAAATAGTCAACAGAGACAGGACTCTCTGCATATAAAGTGTAAAGTGTCAAATAGTCAACAGAGACGGGACACTCAGCACATAAAGTGTTAAATAGTCGACAGATACAGGACACTCAGCACATATAGTGTCAAATAGTCGACAGAGACGGGACACTCAGCACATTAAGTGTCAAATAGTCAACAGAGACAGGACACTCGGCACATATAGTGTCAAATAGTCAACAGTGACAGGACACTCGGCACATATAGTGTTAAATAGTCAACAGAGACGGGACACTCGGCATTTAAAGTGTTAAATAGTCAACAGAGACGGGACACTCCGCACATCAAATGTAAAATAGTCAACAGAGACGGGACACTCGGCACATAAAGTGTCAAATAGTCGACAGAGACGGGACCCTCTGCACATAAAGTGTCAAATAGTCGACAGAGACGGGACACTCAGCACATAAAGTGTCAAATAGTCAACAGAGACGGGACACTCAGCATATAAAGTGTCAAATAGTCAACAGAGACAGGACACTCTGCACATCAAATGTAAAATAGTCAACAGAGACAGGACACTCAGCATATAAAGTGTAAAGTAGTCAACAGAGACAGGACACTCCGCATATAAAGTGTCAAATAGTCAACTGAGACAGGACACTCAGCACATTAAGTGTCAAATAGTCAACAGAGTAGTGTCAAATAGCCGACAGGGACGGGACACTCAGCACATAAAGTGACAAATAGTCAACAGAGACAGGACACTCAGCACATATAGTGTCAAATAGTCGACAGAGACGGGACACTCAGCACATAAAGTGTAAAGTAGTCAACGGAGACAGGACACTCAGCACATAAAGTGTCAAATAGTCAACAGAGATGGGACACTCGGCACATATAGTCAAATAGTCGACAGAGACAGGACACTCAGCACATAAAGTGTTAAATAGTCGACAGATACAGGACACTCAGCACATATAGTGTCAAATAGTCGACAGAGACGGGACACTCAGCACATAAAGTGTAAAGTAGTCAACAGAGACAGGACACTCGGCACATATAGTGTCAAACAGTCAACAGAGACAGGACACTCCGCATATAAAGTGTCAAATAGTCAACAGAGACGGGACTCTCGGCACATCAAATGTAAAATAGTCAACAGAGATGGGACACTCGGCACATATAGTGTCAAATAGTCAACAGAGACGGGACACTAGACAGGACACTCGGCATATAAAGAGTTAAATAGCCAACAGAGACGGGACACTCTGCATATAAAGTTTCAAATAATCAACAGAGACGGGATACTAGGCACATATAGTGTCAAATATTCAACAGTGACAGGACACTCGGCATATAAAGAGTCAAATAGTCAACAGAGAAGGGACACTCCGCACATCAAATGTAACATAGTCAACAGAGACAGGACATTCAGCATATAAAGTGTCAAATAGCCAACAGAGACGGGACTCTCTGCATATAAAGTGTCAAATAGTCAACAGTGTCAAATAGTCAACAGAGCCGGGACTCTCGGCACATCAAGTGTAAAATAGTCAACAGAGACGGGCCACTCGGCATATAAAGTGTTAAATAGTCAACAGAGACGGGACACTCTGCATATAAAGTGTCAAATAGTCAACAGAGACGGGATACTCGGCACATATAGTGTCAAATAGTCAACAGTGACAGGACACTCGGCACATATAGTGTTAAATAGTCAACAGAGACGGGACACTCGGCACATATAGTGTCAAATAGTCAACAGAGAAGGGACACTCCGCACATCAAATGTAAAATGGTCAACAGAGACAGGACACTCGGCACATAAAGTGTTAAATAGTCAACAGAGACAGGACACTCCGCATATAAAGTGTCAAATAGTCAACAGAGACAGGACACTCTGCATATAAAGTGTCAAATAGTCAACAGAGACAGGACACTCGGCATGTAAAGTGTTAAATAGTCAACAGAGACGGGACACTCCGCACATCAAATGTAAAATAGTCAACAGCGACGGGACACTCGGCACATATAGTGTCAAATAGTCAACAGAGACGGGACACTCGGCACATATAGTGTCAAATAGTCAACAGTGACAGGACACTCGGCACATATAGTGTTAAATAGTCAACAGAGACGGGACACTCGGCACATATAGCGTCAAATAGTCAACAGAGAAGGGACACTCCGCACATCAAGTGTAAAATGGTCAACAGAGACAGGACACTCGGCACATAAAGTGTTAAATAGTCAGCAGAGACAGGACACTCCGCATATAAAGTGTCAAATCGTCAACAGAGACAGGACACTCTGCATATAAAGTGTCAAATAGTCAACAGAGACGGGACACTCATTATATAAAGTGTCAAATAGTCAACAGAGACAGGACACTCGGCACATAAAGTGTTAAATAGTCAGCAGAGACAGGACACTCCGCATATAAAGTGTCAAATCGTCAACAGAGACAGGACACTCTGCATATAAAGTGTCAAATAGTCAACAGAGACGGGACACTGGGCACATAAAGTGTCAAATAGTCAACAGAGACGGTAAAGTGTCAAATAGTCAACAGAGACGGGACACTCAGCATATAAAGTGTCAAATAGTCAACAGAGACAGGACACTCGGCACATATAGTGTCAAATAGTCAACAGAGACGGGACACTCGGCATATAAAGTGTCAAATAGTCAACAGAGACGGGACACTCCACACATCAAATGTAAAATAGTCAACAGAGACGGGACACTCGGCACATATAGCGTCAAATAGTCAACAGAGACAGGACACTCGGCATGTAAAGTGTTAAATAGTCAACAGAGACGGGACACTCGGCATATAAAGTGTCAAATAGTCAACAGAGACGGGATACTCGGGACATATAGTGTCAAATAGTCAACAGTGACAGGACACTTGGCACATATAGTGTTAAAAAGTCAACAGAGACGGGACACTCGGCACATAAAGTGTCAAATAGTCAACAGAGACGGGACACTCCGCACATCAAATGTAAAATGGTCAACAGAGACGGGACACTGGGCACATAAAGTGTCAAATAGTCAACAGAGACAGGACATTCAGCATATAAAGTGTCAAATAGTCAACAGAGACGGGACACTCCGCACATCAAATGTAAAATAGTCAACAGAGACAGGACACTCGGCACATATAGTGTTAAATAGTCAACAGAGACGGGACACTCGGCACATAAAGTGTCAAATAGTCAACAGAGACGGGACACTCGGCACATATAGTGTCAAATAGTCAACAGAGACGGGACACTCGATCATTATATAAAGTGTCAAATAGTCAACAGAGACGGGACACTCGGCATATAAAGTGTCAAAAAGTCAACAGAGACGGGATACTCGGCACATATAGTGTCAAATAGTCAACAGAGACAGGACACTCGGCACATATAGTGTCAAAGAGTCAACAGTGACAGGATACTCGGCACATATAGTGTTAAATAGTCAACAGAGACGGGACACTCGGCACATAAAGCGTCAAATAGTCAACAGAGACAGGACACTGGGCACATATAGAGTCAAATAGTCAACAGAGACGGGACACTCATTATATAAAGAGTCAAATAGTCAACAGAGACGGGACACTCGGCACATAAAGCGTCAAATAGTCAACAGAGACAGGACACTGGGCACATATAGTGTCAAATAGTCAACAGAGACGGGACACTCATTATATAAAATGTCAAATAGTCAACAGAGACAGGACACTGGGCACATATAGTGTCAAATAGTCAACAGAGGCGGAACACTCGGCACATAAAGTGTCAAATAGTCAACAGAGACGGGACACTCATTATATAAAGTGTCAAATAGTCAACAGAGACGGGACACTCGGCACATATAGTGTCAAATAGTCAACAGAGACAGGACACTTATTATATAAAGTGTCAAATAGTCAACAGAGACGGGACACTCATTATATAAAGAGTCAAATAGTCAACAGAGACGGGCCACTCGGCACATATAGTGTCAAAGAGTCAACAGAGACAGGACACTTATTATATAACGTGTCAAATAGTCAACAGAGACGGAACACTCGGCACATCAAGTGTCAAATAGTCGCGCTTTACTACAGCATGACGGGACACTCGGCACATATAGGGTCAAATAGTCAACAGAGACGGAACACTCGGCACACAAAGTGTCAAATAGTCGCGCTTTACTACAGCATGACGGGACACTCGGCACATATAGGGTCAAATAGTCAACAGAGACAGGACACGGGGCACATATAGGGTCAAATAGTCAACAGAGACAGGACACTGGGCACATATAGTGTCAAATAGTCAACAGAGACGGAACACTCGGCACATAAAGTGTCAAATAGTCGCGCTTTACTACAGCATATAGTGCAACAACAAGTTAGTGTAGTTTATTGAAACAAATCATCAACAAAATTACTATATGTGTGATACAATCTATTTTCAAACATCTGATATAACTCTTGATGTAAATAAATCATTATAACCACATACTCGCTGCTACATAATAACATTATGGTTATGAAGTTTATTATTGCAGCTCTTTTTTATGCTTGTCATATTATCCTGCAGGTCATATATTTCGCAATCACATTATTGACCCAAGAAATTGCAAAAATATCATCCACATGGAAATATCCTGCTATGCGGAAAATACACTATGTCCGTTTCTAATTGGGAAACAATTGCCATGGATCATAACCTCAATTTGAAAGATGACAGTGCGAAAAATTGTTACATGATGTCATAATTTAAAGATTGATAAATGAAATCACGTCAAGGGTGTTATCCACTAGTGGGTAACCAAAAATGTTTACCTACTTCTAACAGGTTTATCCATTGAGTCATCATGAGTGAGTAAGGAAATCTGAAGTGATTGAGTGATTAAGCTTTATTTATAATAAATCTTCACGATATTCTTAATTTATAACTAACATGAAGGAATGATGTAGATACAAAAAAAAAAAAAAAAGTTTGCATCGTCAGTGCAAACAGTATCACTGGATCAGCCTTAAATATCACCTAAATGTTTACTCCTTACAATAGTCTCATGTTATCTGAGGCAGGATGAAGAGCTTCAAAGTGACACTGATCTAATGGCATCCATGGCCTTGTGAATGCAATTTTTTGTTGTAGTGTTTTCAAAGGGACTTTAATTTATATATTAGAGGGGATACATTTTAGCACTTTGTCAAAGTGTTATTTAGTGAATACATGTTCATCCTAGTTTGTGTATATGAACTCGTGTTATATAACCTGGCCTGTATACAATAATGACTCCATTAAATGATAAAATTATGTCGGACTTCCAGCATATCAATTGCCGAATTTTAGAATTCATAGTAACTTGAAAAATGCAAAGGATCTTGTGTTTGCTTGACCTTATATTTGTGAAGCTTAATATATTCTTCATGAATTTCATATGAAATGAAAATTAAATGAACAAAAATCATGGCATTCGCTGATCTTGTTATTAGTACGTACCCCGAGAGTTTCCGAAATGAAGGAGAGTTCCGAGTGAGACCAAAATGCATGGAGAAGTTATATCTGTATACCTGGTCATGTAATCGTATTACCATTACATTATATTGCTGATTTGGCCTGCATATAGGAGAGAGGAATCATGCCCCTTCCAGCGGCATTGTTGGCGCGTCTGCAGAAAAGGGGAATTGTTAAAGAAAAGGAAGAAAAACCAGGTGCGTGGCCTCCACATACAGAGTTACTTGCCCTTCAACAAAGAATTACATGTGTTATGATACGTTACGTTGTAGATTATGTGACAAACTTATATTGTTTGAATGTTCCCATTCATCTGATTGTTAAAACCGTGAAAAATGTGGTTCAGTATCGTTTTGATTACACGGCAATACATTATAGATGAATCTACATGGGATTGAAAAAGTGAACCGGCCCCTCACGGCCTCAGTTTCAACTCTAAGCACAGGTGCTGGCACACTGATTTGATGTGTATGTACTATATAATAGTATTATTATTATAGTATTATATACAAATCATATCAAGTGTGTCCAGCACCTGTGACACTAATTACAGAGCTAAGGGAAAATTCCCTCTAGAAATTAAAGCGACCTAAATATATAATTGAAACCTAGCTTTGGCACATTTATAATATTAAAAAATATTCAGATAATACAATGTCACTGGCTGCAGCTATCTGAACAGAAACACATCCACATTTAAAATAATTGTAAACATGCTCAACATATGTACATGTAAATACTCATAGGATCACATGTACAGTCTCTTTAATTTCTAGCTCTGTGCTAGATGGAATTTCCCATCGGCATCAGCTCAATTGGTCGGAGAAGCTGTGGGTCACTGGTTTGTTTCTCCAATGGAAGCACACTATTCTCTTTTCTGTATATGATATTATCTCTACAATAACAAAATCATTAATGTCTTACCCGTGACGTGGAATATATATATGCTACTGACACAAACTGCCATTATTATCATTTATTGTGGAGTCTCCTTAAAGCTGCGGTCACATCTTAAGGTCACGCATGTAATATAAGTTGACTGTAGTGAGGATGACCACAGTTGACTAGTAGACCGTAGGTGACCTTAGTTAAACGTAGTTCAACGTAGTTATAAACGTATATAGCTTGAACTTCAATAAACCCATGACTTGGCCGTGGCTATAGCCCAAATTTTTTCAACATGTTCAAAATATCTCTAACCGTGAGTTTGGATGCCAAGACCCTACTGTGACTGTAGATTGAATGTAGCTGACCCTACTTAGTTCATATAGTTCAAATAGCGATGACGCCGATTGAAAGCTGTGAGCTTCTTATGGCGCGTTTGAATATACCTGACCGTGGTGTTTACCGTAGTTGATCGTAGCTAGTAACATGGCAATACGACTAAATTAACACTACCTACGATCAAGTTAAGTCGAACAGGCCTAGGGACAACTACTAGGGTTGGACTATGTTTGAAGAACGTTCACAGTACTGTTAAGTACGGTTAACTAGGGTCAACTAGCTATAGGGTGAAATAGGGTTAAGTAATATTGAATTTAGGAGTTAAGGTTAGGGAACTACGTCTAACTACGTTAAATACATTTTGCTAAGGTCACCTACGGTCTACTACAGTCAACTGTGGTCATGACCGTAAGATGTGACCACGGCTCAAGCTTGTATTGATGCTTGGCATCTTTTTCTTATGGAAAAGACACAAACATAAACATTATCAAGGGCTTTTGTTGACCATTGACACTTAGCAACTTCTGAAGCAATTTCAGAAATCAGAAAGAAATTTCCCTGAATTTCAGAAAGTCAAAACATGTATATGTCAAATAGACCTTTTCTCTAAAACCCAAAACTCGAAGCTTATTTTGGGGAGTCAAAAACAATAAATCCCAAGGGTCGGTTCAAAGCCCTGATTACCACGGAGTAAAAAAAATATGGATTGAAAGACAGCAGCTATATTAGAGGATTTATAATATATTCATTGTGCTGTCTACATGTAAACCATATTTTTATAGTCACACTGACACCAGTGCCAGTGTCAAGTTCGGAGCCAGTTGAAGAGGTTTTCGCTGAAGATTATGATGATCCAACCAAAGACCAGAACTCCAATTTGGAAGAAGAAGAAAGTCCTGCTATAATCCCTGAACCTGAAAATGTAGGACCCCTCTTCTGGGAAGTGTCTGCATGTCCCAATAAAAATAACCCTTATCACAAATGTGTCGCTTACTGTCATGAACGATGGGGAATGGAAACTTTCAATGGCAGTGAAGATATGCTGAGGAAACGAGATCGAATGCTTCGGAGACATCCACTCCCGGAGGGATGGGAGGAAGTCGCAGACTCGGAAAGGTAAGAATTTTTCTCCAAAATCTGTTCAATTCAAGACTATTGTCAAATGAAATGCATTCACAACTTATTGTTATCGTATAACAGTTACTTGTATATAAGCAGCACTTACATCATTATTTGAAGTTAAGAAAACAATATATTAATTCTCTCTGGGTGAAAGAAATTCTGTAATCGGCATTGATTATGAAAACTGTCTTGTTCATGTAGTACCCAGTATATCTGAAAGGAAAGGATATGTTTCCAATTGTATTATTTTTAATTCATATTGGAAAAATTACCCATAATCATATGATAAATTCTTATTGATGCCATATTAGCTAGTTATAGGTTGTGTCCCCTTAGCTGCATTCACATATGATAGATCTCACCAATACAATGTACATGTATGTATATATTTGTCTCCCTCCTTAAATACGAGCTTACTATGACATATATATTTTAAAACAAAATTATAATTATCATGTTCCAAATTCTTGAAGATGATCCGCTCAAGTAAACAAATTCTATATATATATTTATTATTTAAAGGTCTTCCTGTAGTTAAGCTATCTTGACAGAGTTGTCAATCCATATACTCACTCACATGTACGTGACAAATGAAGCTTGTATGAAATTGACAATGTACATTTTAAATGAAATGACCTTTTATAAAGAAGGCTTTTTTAATATTCATGATGTTAAATTGTGCAAAAAGTAAAATTCTGAATATTCCTAACACAATTTTCCCAATTTCAAAAGTCACTGGGCCCAGTACCCAAAATATTGGAAATAACTCTGTATTACATATTTATATAAGTGTGATGCTAGATATTTGTATACATGTACATATGTTTGCTTGATCCCTTAGCAACAGGTACTATTACTGGAACGTACTGACTGATGAAGTGTCCTGGCTGTCACCGTCTCACCCCTTGGCAAATGTCACAGTTTCTGCACAGAGAGTCAAAAGTGAGTGTCCAACACACAGATGTTAAAATAAACAACAATATTACGTTTTTGGGAAAAGTAAAAATGTGTCTTTAAAACAGGGTCATTTATCTAATTGTCATGTTTGTCATTTTTCTGAAAAAGTAAAAGATTAAATAGACTTTCCAGTAGTGATATTACTATGCTCTATAAAAATGAGGTTCAAAACAAGTGGTCAGTTTTGTTAAGCATAGGAATGTAAGAAAGAAACAGAGTGAAATTTGGAATCTTGCAATTTTTTCACTTTTGACACAAAAACAGAGTTAATGTGTCAATATGCTGCCACTAGTTGTTCTAGAATAAGTTTTCAACATACAGAATGGTTTAAATTGTAATTAGGAGTTTAAAGGGTCCCCTGCATTGTGTTTTTGTAAGCTGCAATTTTATATTCACAGTGCAGTAATCTGTATTTAGCTTAGATTTATTATTTGACTTGTTAAGGTAAAAAAAAAATGATGTATGTTTATTTTATTTTTTATTATAATTTTTTGAGGCGTGCATGGGGAGAATTGTTTTAAAGAAATACAAAAACTACCAAACATATTTTTCGGTCTTTTAGATAAGAATTATGCAAATGTGATTTAGATTTGGTTTTGATACCTACCTATGAAGTAGAGAGGATATATAAAGTTGCCTTGTTTGTATGCCCATATATTTGTTTGCATCCAGTCTACAAGTTATCTCAACACTGGATGAAATGTGTTTGAGTGAGATAAAATTGTTAGGGTCGGAGGTAAAAATTAGTGTTGGTGAAACATGCATTTTTGTGGCCTAATTAGTTGAGCTCATGTAGCGTTTTTTATTTTCTTGTTTCAGACATTTCCATGGACATTTCTGCACATCTGGATGGTTTTGACAGCGAGGAAGATATGGAAACGAAATCAGAGAGTGATCTGGTATATATGATGGCCTATTCCCGTTCAAATATTAGAGTTACATGCTACCAAAGCATTGCCTTATTGTAGAGTTATCTGCCTTTGTAAGCTTGATATCAACACATTCTGTTGTGTTGACAACTGTCAGATGTCAAGTATAATAAATTAAATAGTTAAAACCTATCTATCATTGTTCAGGTGTCTTGGTGTGAAAAACTTTTGTAAATAATGTGAATTTATTAGTAAGGTAGCAAACATCCTTAAGTCACTGTAAGGTAGCATCCATCCTTAAGTTGATCTTCAAACAATAGAATAAAAGGTTTTGTATGTAGATGAAGATTTCACAAAATTTATTCAGCTTTCACTAAACTGAAAATTTGACGGAAGTATTATGGTATGGGGTTGTCCGTCCGCCCTCTGGCGTAAACTATTGTTTGTCCGGCAAAATCCTCCTACATTTTTCGACCAATCTCTTTGAAACTTGGTATACATTATAATCATGATATGAAGTTGTGTCTCCCTTAAAAGAATTATGATTCGACAATTTCTTCAAAAGTTATTGCCCTTTGTTCATTTCAGTATTTGATATTTGTCCGGAGATTTTCTTCTTCATTTTTTATATCATGTCAGCTAACCACTCTTTGAATGATGCAGGTCTTATTTCAATGTAAGAAAGTATATAACACTATATGGCATTCGACGGGCATATTTTGTTCAGAAATTAGTTCAGACTTTTATGAGACAGAAATTTAAAAAAGACTTTATCAGATTTTTTAGCAGGTTTTAGCAGATTTTTTGAGACTGTAGATGTCATGACAAATTGGTATATGGTCCAGTCACTTGGAAGTTAAAGCATTTCACTTGTAATTTGTACAATCACAAGACAAGTTTAATGAGTCTAGAGATGTGTTAAACTGCAGGTAATCAGTAAAATTACACTACTGAGGATATGACAACATTTTAACAAAGACGTTATCTGAGAACCTGTATAGTAAGTTAGTAACATACCTGTCTCTGAACCTGGAGATCCAATATAACTTTTATAACTTAGGTTTATTCTGTCCCAACAGAGCCCATCCTCTAGTGATTCTGAGTCTGAGGAGGAGGAGATGGTGGTGGAAGAAAAACGGCCGAGAGGTGGACAAGGTCATGGTCAAAGGGGTAGGGGACGTGGCAGAGGTGGGCGACGGGAAAAGGATGAACTCGATCCAATGGACCCCGCCTCTTATTCCGAAGTTCCCAGGTATGATTGCATATTATATCCAGAAAAAACATAATCTAAGACAGCTTTGTTCCATCATAAATACCTAAGGTCACAGATTTTTTTTTTTTTAAATCAAACTAGATAGTCAGAATTAAGTCTTTAGATACACCAAGTATAGAAAATTTGTTTGGAGAAATAGTTTTGATAGTAAATCATGTTTTGAGATATATCCAGTATAAGAGATTATTCTATGGATTCCAGTTTAGGAGATTTTGTGAAGATTATTAATTTTTATAAATAATACATAGGTATGTGTACCGTCTGTCCTAGTATGGAATTAATTAACCACAAATTTTGTCAAAGTTCTAACCTGTAAGCGTATTCTGACATCGCTGTTTGCACTGAGCATGCAGTGCACACGTCAAAGGTTATAACATATTTTGTAAAGATTTCATGTTGCCAAGCGTTTCAAAGGTCAATTTTCTTGGTCAAGATATAGTCTATAAAAATTTAAGTAGGGTAGGTCGATAAGATAACTTCATCCCCTAGACATAGTGTTAATAGTGTGTAAATTCTAAATTCTAAGACATAGATAGCACCCATTGGTAATGTGATATAGTTCAGGGATGATCTTCTCTACCATGCAGTGGAACTGGACTGAGTCAATCGTCGGCAACCAGTTAGCTCAATTGGTAGAACGTCCATCTAGATTTCAGAGGGTCCCAAGTTTGAATCCAGGTCTGGCCGTTGCATTTCTCTTTCTCCTTTAACAAACTGTTTCTATCATCAAGGCTTTTTAAATGTTCTGTTGCAGGGTAAAAAAAATCAGTAACACAATTATTATTTTTTTCTCCTCTAGAGGGACATGGTCAACTGGACTAGACAGACGAGGAGAGGCCAAAACAGGGGCAGACATCACAGCATCTGGACCTCTCTTCCAGCAACGTCCCTACCCCAGTCCAGGGGAAATATTACGCAGGAATCAGGGCATGCCGAAAGAGTAAACATAACACATTGGAACCAAGGAACCAAGGCGTGACATTTTCTCCAGATAAAGTTATGCATGTTTGCATTTAATCGAGGTCTGGACGCGTATTCATTAAACTGTTCTCACGCTCAAGCCCAGATTCTGTGCTCAAGCCCGATTTCTTGTGCCAGTGATAAGGTTATTAAAAAAATCATATTTTGTCAATAATATGTCAGAAATTTTGAAAGACTTAGAGCTGATTACTGTTTTCAGTGCTTACATTAGACTTTTTGGCCATGTTACATGATTTAAGCGGCTTACGAGAAAGTCGGCTTGGGCACAGATGTCCGGCTTGGGCACAGATGTCTGGCTTGAGCACAAGAATGGTTTAATGACTACAGGCCCTGCTTGTACCTTGAATCTTTCAGTCTTTTTACGTCAAAGTCTTTTCAACATCTGGAAAGTGTCGGGGACAGTGTCACGTCACCAAAAAGGAGGACATAAAAACATTGTGTTTCTGGTATAGATGAAATCTATCAAAGTCACCTGTTATGCCTTGTTCTGTATGTTTATACAAGTATATGAAGAACATGGTTACCTGTTTCATCAGTATCTTAAATCATTTCATTGCATTGTAAATAAAATCATTTGACTGAAAATGTTTTTTTGTTTATTTTCTTAATGAACCATGCTTTAATCACTTTTTATTTTACTTAATGCTTTGCTTACTGCAAAAATCTTTCAAAACCTCTGTTCCTGTTTTCTTTGCAACTCCTTAAACATCTCCTTTGATACATTGTCAAACCAGTTTTTATAATGCCAAAAGCTCCTGTGGTCTAATGGTGGCAGTATAACAAGGTTTTACTGGTACATTGTACTTGGTATGAATGGTGGGGTGACAATATATGGCCCGTTTGCCTGTCAGGAAAGCTGAGGGATTGTACCGTATTCGTCAGTCCATCATTCTTTGTCACTCTGGCCCGTTTGCCTATCAGGAAAGCGGAGGGATTGTACCATATTCGTCAGTCCATCATTCCTTGTCACTCTGGCCCGTTTGCCTATCAGGAAAGCCGAGGGATTGTACCGTATTTGTCAGTCCATCATTCTTTGTCACTCTGGCCCGTTTGCCTATCAGGAAAGCCGATGGATTGTACGTATTCGTCAGTCCATCATTCTTTGTCACTCTGGCCCGTTTGCCTAACAGGAAAGCCGAGGGATTGTACCGTATTCGTCAGTCCATCATTCTTTGTCACTCTGGCCCGTTTGCCTATCAGGAAAGCCGAGGGATTGTACCGTATTCGTCAGTCCATCATTCCTTGTCACTCTGTCACCTATTCTTATCAACTTGTAACTGTTAGAAATTTCAATAATTGTAAACAAAACTAAATACATTGGTTTAACATGACTGACCGATGTGTCACTTACAGCTCTTTGGTCTGGACCACCGTGTTCAACCTCAAAGGCAGGGTTCAAATGTTAAATCTTAACATGTCCTATACCTGGATGATATAAAATATATTGCTGTCAGAACTAACTATAACTTTAAGGTCAAGGTCATATCAAGGGGTCAAACATCATGTAATACCTGAACACTTCTTAATTTTTAAATGATTTTTTTATTGATGATTTTCACAACTAAATGATGTGTGGCATACATTTCTTAAATTTCATAATCCAGAGGCCAACGGTCAAAGGTCAAATAATTGTTATAAACTTGACACATGTCTACCCCAAGGTCAAGGTCATGGGCAAAGGTTAAAATATTGTAATTCTAGACAGGAAAGTACAATCACAGGGTACAAAAAGGAATACCAAAATGACAACAAAACCGTAATTTGAACTCAAAATGGAACAAGTGGCACAGAGGGCCTGTATCGCTCACCTGGATATCTAAGCAATAATGGCAAAATATTCTCCAAATGAGATCCAGGGGAATATGCCAGACCCCAAGGCCAATCCTTGTTGATATCTGTATTAGATTGTTCATGCCCAGCAATTTTATGTATGGTTATGGGGTGGGGATCTCAACTGTTTCCAAGCTGTGACTCAGAAACTAGGTCCATAGGGTTGTGGTCAGACCCCAGGATCAATTCTAATATCATGACTGCATTCCTCCCTTTTTGCCCATCATTTGTATTTATAGTTTTGGTGTGGGGATCTCAACCGTTTCAAAGTTATGACCAGGAGTTAAGTCTGCAAAGGTTGGGCAGACCCTAGGATAAATTCTAATATCATGACTGCATTGGTCTCTTTATGCCCAGCATTTGTATTTATAGTTTTGGGGTGGGGATCTCAGCCATTTTCAAGTTATGGCCCAGGGGTTAAGTCTCCAAGGGTGGGACAGACCCCAAGGCCATCCTGGAAGCATATGTGCATTCATCTCTTTATACTCAGCAATTGTGTATATGGTTATAGGATAGGGATCTCAACTGTTTCCAAGCTGTGACTAAGAAACTAGGTCCCTAAGGGTTAGGTCAGACCCAAATTCTATTCTAATATCATGACTGCATTCGTCTCTTTATGCCCAGCATTTGTATGTATAGTTTTGGGGTGGGGATCTTAACCCTTTCAAAGTTCTGACCAAGGGACTATGTCTCCAAGGATGGGGCCAGACCCTAGGGCCATCCTGGAAGCAAATGTGCTTTTTTCTCTTTATACTGGGCAATTGTATAAATGGTTAAATTGTGGGGATTTCGACCATTTCAAAGTAATAAACTTTTTTTGGCTCCACTCCTTAGCCGAAGGGGTCAGCCCCACCATTTGTACAATTTGAATCCCTGCCTCCCATGAATGCTGAATGCTTCCTACTAAATATGATCGATATCCATGGCACAGCTCTACAGAAGAAGTCGTTTATAGGAATATAGCCAAATTGGCCCCACCCCTCATCCCCACCATTTGTACAATTTTGAATCCCCGCCACCTAGGGGTGCTTCCAGTCAAATATGGTTGATATCCATCTCCATCCTTCGGACAAGGTGAGCTAAAAACCAGTGCAAAATATGCACAAAGTAAGTGTTTTGAAAAGCTAAGCGTCCTCTGCTTCATCAATGACACCCGGCATGTAGATCACCGTCAAGTAATGTCACGTCCTCGCATCGAGGATTGAAATTTATGTAATGAAAATGTAACGTATTAACCTTCACGTTGCACACAGAAGAAGCATAGTTCCAAATCAACTGCGGTATATAAACACCGTAATTTTGGGAAACGAGCATGTTACTATCAAGAAAGGGAAAACTCATGATCGAAAAATAAAAATCTATAAGTAAAGACCGAGAAAAACGGCAGGTGTAGAAGTTCAGTGTCCTTGATTTTATTTTCATGATGTTAGGTACGACCTATGTGGACAATACATTTTTATCAAAAGACAGTATATCATGGATATATCTGAATGTGAAATTGAACGACTTGGCAAGGCTTTGTTGCTCGTTCTGATAAGCTCGTTATAACAAAGGGTCAAAGTTCAAACCATTGCACGTAAAGTCAGTAACCTAAGGTCTACGTTAGAACAAGGGTCCACAGTTCTAACCATTGTACGTAAAGTCAGTAACCTAAGGTCTCCGTTGTAACAAAGGGTCAAAGCTCAAACCATTATACGTAAAGTCAGTAACACTAGGGTCTACGTTATAACAAGGGGTCAAAGTTCAAACAATTGTACATAAAGTTAAGACCCTAAGGTCTACGTTATAACAAAGGGTCAAAGTTCAAACCATTGTACATAAAGTCAGTAACCCTAAGGTCTACGTTATAACAAGGGTCAAAGTTCAAACCATTGTACGTAAAATCAGCATCTCTTAGATCGTCGTACTGCTCCGAAATATTTAACAGCTAAACATTACCTCTCAACTTCTAAACAAGTAGCACCACTTGGAGCTGACTTCATATACAGCGGTAGGGAGGAAGAAAACACATTTTTATATGTTGAAAATATAATAATTTATTTAAAATATACAAGAATAAAGACATCATGATAAAAAAGCATTTCACTCATTCAACCATACACCACCCATGGTCTTGATTGTGATAAACATGTCCACCACATACTTCGTATGTGTAAATTAAAGTCAAATATCAAATTTAGATTAAAAAAAAATATCCACTTGTCGCACCAACACGGAAGTGTAAAATAAATACTTATAAATACTCACGCGCCAGCTATTTAATTGTTCGTCTGCAAAAACTAATCAATTTCATATGAAATTGATCGATATATATATTATCTATTGATAAATAGCACGTACTGCCGAGGCTGATTCGTTTCGTCCCTTCGCCACGAAAAGACGAGCTTTAGTCACTTTCAATTATCGTTGTGTAAAAGACGAAACAACGAGAATTGGGGTTTCTGATTTTCGTCTTTTTGGGACGAAGCAACGAAAGTTAATTCTCAACAACGAGAGTTCAGGTTTGTTTCGTCTCTCTGCCCTGAAATCAGCCACCGTAACAAACCCATACTGAACTCCTCCTTAAACCACTACACCTTGTCCAGCACTGGGATAATAAGATTATTTCGGCCATTCTAATTTCTCTCATTCAGCATGATAACCAATATAAGGACAATCTGATGTATATAAAATTCCTATGTAAAAGTTCATCAGCTAAGAATCCCGAGTGCATGAGTGCAATGGATTTGATATTTAGCCAAAGCTTGAAAAAAAGTTCACGATAAGGTATCAACTTTTATAAAGTACGCTACACTTAAAGCACAGGCTCCACACGTTTATAATAATACTAAGTCGCAGGCTTCAGACGTTGGTGATCAGAATGCTGGTGATTAGACTTAGTCACGGGCTCCAGACGTTGGTGATCAGAATGCTGGTGATTAGACTTAGTCACAGGCTTAAGACGTTAGTGATAAGGCTAAGACACTGGTAAGTATACTAAGGCACAGGCTCAAGACGTTGCGGTGATGATACAAAGCACATGATGATATAAAAGTTGGTGATTTAGAATAAGGCACAGGATATAGACGCTTGTCATTACACTATACGCCGGTGTTGAGATTCAAATTATAAAGACACCAGCTCATAACGCTGATGAATAGACTAAGGCGCCAGCTCATAACGCTGATGAATAGACTAAGGCGCCAGCTCATAACGCTGATGAATAGACTAAGGCGCCAGCTCATAACGCTGATGAATAGACTAAGGCGCCAGCTCATAACGCTGATGAATAGACTAAGGCGCCAGCTCATAACGCTGATGAATAGACTAAGGCGCCAGCTCATAACGCTGATGAATAGACTAAGGCGCCAGCTCATAACGCTGATGAATAGACTAAGGCGCCAGCTCATAACGCTGATGAATAGACTAAGGCGCCAGCTCATAACGCTGATGAATAGACTAAGGCGCCAGCTCATAACGCTGATGAATAGACTAAGGCGCCAGCTCATAACGCTGATGAATAGACTAAGGCGCCAGCTCAAGATGCACTTAGGATATACGCTCCCTTAATTTGACATAAAGGATCACTTATACACCTTATATCATCAAGAATGCAAGCAATCATTTATGAGATAATGGTAATTGAAAAACTAAGGGAGATAAATCTAACAGAACTCTCGGGTAAAAGTGAATCATTCTGTGTGTCTGTTTTACAATAGAACAAAAGCTATTATGTCCAACCCATTTACTGACATAAGCATCCTTGCCGATGCCATCTACACCTGTACCTCACACCAACAAAGCATTACATCACTCTTCATCACAGTCGACATTTAAAATATGCTTCCCTGCGTGATCTTAATTTTACGGAGAAAAGTGTTTGTTTTTTATTCTAAACGATGCCATCCGATATCACACTCAATCAATTTTAACATTCTTAATGAAAAAAGGCCGATGCAGAGTTCGAAAAAAATATCGACGTTGTAAGATATCATATAACATTTTGCTCCCTATTCACCTGTTGAGTTCACCAGGGTCCGCTAAAACTGACCATAATATGCTGGCTTTATATTTTTTGTTCATAAACGGCGACCGACAAGCCTTTTGAAGCCGGCGGTACATATACTTATGGTCAGTTTTAGCGGACTAAGTTTAGAACACAGAGAAATTATGTTGATACGACGGTAAGTCGACTATAGTGCTAGTTCTGATGCTGTACGTCGAGCCCATGGGGGTGGGGATGAGAGTGTGATCTGGAACAACGCCCCTACCCAAGGGCCAACCCTCGCACCCGCTGTCGATGTCTGTCCAAGGTTGAGAACGGATGTATCTATCCTCGCATTCCGGACACCTGAGCGGCATCAGTGGGTACCGCTGGCCAGCTACATCTGTAAATCAATCAATGAAATGTACAATTAATGAGGACTCTCATATTTTACTAAGAGGGTATCCACAATCGTGAACCGTCGGCACTTTCCGTAAACGACATTTTCTCGAAAATCTCGTTTACGGATAGTACCGAAGGTTCCCGATTGATGGTATCCAATGAGTAAAGATTTCTTATCCGAATGAGTTATACATTCATGAGATGAAATAGAAATCATAATAAATTATTATTTATTTGATACCCTCTTTGTAAAATATCAATATCTACCCAATTCATGAATTAATACCAAATTATTAACATATTTTCATTCTCAAAAATATATAACATCAACAAGTAAGGGGATTTTGTTTAGTTTAAAATCAAAGAATTCGAATGATTTTTCCCCAATCTGACACAATCTAGTGGCAATTGCACGGCAGATGGATTATAACAACACTGTATATTTCTTGACCATTTTGTTTTATTTCGGGATATATCTCGTTTTTCGTGTTAGTTCGTGAAATAAACCCCAGATGTTTAAACTGTCGAATTCAAAATTTCACGAATAAATCATTTTGTAATACAATCCCGAAAATCTTCAAAGTATGTATATATTTATAACGTGACCAATTTGATCATGTTTTTTGTTTGTTTTTGTTTTTATGTTATCTACTTAGTAATATTTTTTTAATGCATATTATAACGTGTAATATACATCTAAGCCGACCTTTTCACTCAAAATTATTTAATTATCTTTGAAAGTCTTTAATAAGTGTTAGCCAATATATATTACGTCACAGAACTTACCACCACAAATTGTGTAAAACAAACAAAGACCTTTTTATCAAAAGGAAGGAATGAAGAGTAGCACCCTTCTATGAGTAACGGAAAATCTCATACGGAAGTAATCAGAATTGCCGGTGCTGAGATAAAATTTGTTTTTCATTGTCCGTGAAATATATACAACGCTAACTATTGATGACATCGGACACCATTTATAGCCAAGCTGGAATGTATACCCCCTTTTTATCTTAGCTCCTGTATAATAACGTCCACGCTGGTCGGCTATGGGTTTACATAAAGAAGGCCATCTGGTCGAGAAGAAAGTCCGCTCCCTCGTTTACGGTTTCTTGGTTCACACTAAACCCGACACCCAACTAGATCCAGATTCACTCTTGAACTTATTACGCCAATCAAAACGATGCCAGAACAGCTGGCTCCCATGCAGTTTTATTTAGTGGCTTAATCACAACGTGAATGGAAGTCATTCGGTGATGGGTGTCCTTACACGTATTTTATGTGTTTCAGCAATATAATGTTCGAGTGTAGGTCCTTAGGGTGAAGGACTAGAAATATGAGTTTCAAACGCATTCAGTCATTTCGTATATCATTCCATTCATTTCAGCACATTGGGATATCATATAGTCTTCACAACCAATAGGCCGGCGTATCTTCATAATCAAAGAGTTCCGCTGTCGATAAATTGAGATTGGAGCCCTCGGATTTCGAAGATACGCCGGCATATTGGTTTTGAAAGAGTCAAGAAGATGTTGTTGTTTTTTGTTTTCTAAATTGTCTGCGTATAATTTTCAAAATTAATGAATATTATTCATATCTATATTTCAAATTGAAATGGCTTCATCGAAAAAACTATTTGAGAAAACACTAGTTTGAAATGTTAACATTTCAGCAAATCGATGAAAGGAGAATAGATGTTAAAATATTTTAAAATGAAATTGACTTGGTTTCGGAGCTGAGATACAGTACCGGTCCCGTTTGTTGTGTTTGGAGCTCGGTTTGAAGTTTGATCGACAGGAGATGGGCGTGGTCCTTTCTTGGAGGCGTCGGGTTTCTTACGTCGACAGCAGCAGACGATGACAACAATAGCAATGACGACACCGCATGACGTCACAGCGGCGATGATGCCGAGCACTGGGACGATGGCCGTGCAGCATTCCTCGTCCCCCTGGGCTGAGGTACAGCACCCGTAAGGACACGCTTCACATTCTCCGTCGGTCACTAAAATGTGAAAGAGATATTCTAAACGATATTTGGGTCAACTAAATCACAAATTTGTATCACCCGTTAAATTATTTCTATTTCTATTCAACAGTTTGCGTACTTAAATTCCATAATCATGTATTCAAGAAATTATATCATAGACGTCAGTCATACTCTGTTTGGGGTTTAACGTCCTCGTTACAGCCGGGGTCATATGCGGACTGATGCGGAAAACAGGAAAAATGGAAAGGAAAGAGGTCATAGCGGTATACCTTTTCTCTTGAATGAACGTTTCCGCTTTAGCTATTGGTTCTGGATATATAACTTTTCAATACGAGCCTGTATTTCACAAAAAAATATGTTGATAAATAGACTGCGTTTTATATATTTAAATATACAAAATATACTGTTATCTCAAAGCTCTCTCATTACGACCTAGCCTCTAAAATACACTATTTAAAAGCTGTTTTTATCACAGGGGCCAGACAGTTTGACATACGATGTATCAATGTACAATCTGTAGGTGGCGCCGTTTGACTTTTCATTCATCATTCTGCCCCGGCAGGGATGGTACATGTCCAATCACAGGGGCACGCAACTACTATTAATATTGGTCTTGTTAGACTTTCAGTCTGTGGGTACGGTATTGGGATATGACGTACATGTAACCAGCGACTGAAAGTCTAACAAGATCAATATTAACAGTAGTTAATAGTAGTTGCGTGCCCCTGTGGTCCAATTATATATGTACATGTAGGTAAATGTACTATCACTGGTTCAGTAGATGGTATTATCCATTCAATATGTGTCACCGATTCAATTACGTACGCAATATTATTGATGGAATCAGTGATAATATTGATACAATTATGTACAGTATCGATATTATCGATTTAATTATATAAGATGACACTATTTCCCCTTTGTTCTCATAGCCTCGATCATAATCACGTGGAAGCCAGTGATTTGAGATATGGACTACTTTTAGAAACAGTAGGTTAGTTAATCTCTTTATGACGTCATTTCATTTGTGACGTCACAATTCTCTGTGCAAAAAAAGGACTTTATTTCAGTGAATATGTTGTTGAAACATTGAAATTGACCGAGACGAATAAATAGTGACCCGATGTTACTATTTATAGAAACAACATGTTAATAGTATGATAATGACGTCTCTTCAATTCAGCATCATTTGATATTCAATATAACAATTATGGACTTTTTGTTGATATGGTGAATTGAATCGATGATATAATATACTAAAAAAAATAAGTTGAAGTGAACATTATGGGTAAATAAACATGAATAGTGATGTTAACCGAAACGAGGTGGATATTTATAGATTTGTTAATTTATCACTCTTCAGGTTCATATAACCATACACTCACATCAACTGAAGTCCATACATGGTAGATACGCATATGATCGATTCAGTTATATACAGTTAAACATCACCATTTCGATTATGTACCCTACGTGATATTATCCATTCACAAATTTGGTATAAGTAATATCACCTATGCGAATTCGTGATGACATTGACTCGTTGAATAATTAAAGGCACCAGACAGGCCAACGTTAGTTAGTTGACGCATGTATAATACGAAACACTGTCAAAGATCAGCCCGTAATCTACTTAGGTCTCATGATAAATAACGATATGTGATCCGACCATCAGTTATACTAAAACCTGTTTATTTCCAACGCAAACGTTGAATCCTTATGACGTGTCGGTTAAGACAGTGTTTACTGTATAAACCGGTGTCGATGAATAAAAAACCCCACATACACTATCTTTTAATGAGTGTCTCGTCTCCATGACGCACACTCGGTATGACCAGAATATTCTGCGTTTTTATGACAACAAGGCCTGTATTATAGATTCCTCCGCATTGAAGCCATTTTGGTCTCTGTGGAGTATAACATATATTATGGCAAACAATACGTCGGTAGAGTACTTTCTTACCTTCAGCTTGTAGAAGAACCAGGAAAAACACCACAATTACAACTTCCATTTTGCCATTTCACAATCCACCGATCGTCATCATCTCAGGAAACCACAAACAAACACTTGTTTTAAGAAACGGAGTATATATCCCAGTTGTATATCTCCTGTACACAGGATAGCGGCGACCCAGCATCAGTTGCAGTCCCCGCTCTGGGCACCAGTGGTGAGAGCAAGAGGCAGATACAGAGTGACTATTATCTATATCCTGTATATTTACATATCTGTCCATCCATCATCACGAGCGATAGATAACCAATAGACGCTGTCAAACTACTTTTCTTCACGTGCGCTCGAGCTGTCGTCAGCGCGTGATCCATATCTCTGCCCGATGTCAATGAGCGTAACGATTTATTAACGGAACGTGCGTTTTTGTTTCTTTTTTTTTCTCTCGATTAGTCAGTGAATAGTTATCATTTTACAGAGTAGGTATTATTGTCTATATAGGAGTGGAAAGTTTATAAGCCAGCATGGAAATTTCACTCAACAATTATTGATGTTATCGGCAGCGTATATTTTCTCACTTCCAATACTTATTATAATATGGTACGAGAAAATTGGGCTTTATTCCAATATAAACTCTGAAATCACGGAGTTTGGTTAGCGGTACCATAATCGAATCTCCACAACATCAAAGCCGACAATTTTCAAAAGTTTAAAAAAAAGTTTCACATAAGGCCAATTACTCGATAAGATGCTTGCTACATCGTTGTAAAAATGCGTCCAACAAGAGTTTAGCAATAACAAACTTTTGTGAAATATAATTTACAGTGTATGAATAGAATTTTGATCTGGTTTGTTAAATGAAGTATGAAATAATGCAAACAATTAGTTCTGTATATGGGATATTACTCTAATAAAAATCACATGTATCATCATGTGTAAGCTAGCATATAAACTTAACGCGAACAAACTTTATAGGTAAGATGTATAAGGTTGCATCAATCGGGAACCTTCGGCACTTTCCGTTAATGATTCTCGTTAACGGAAAGTGTCGACGGTTCCATATTAACCACAGGTTAATTGTTGCGAAATATGGATTAAGTCCTTAAGGGAGATAACTTATAATACAGATCATGTCGGTAAAATGTTTAAGTAGCATATAGCCTCAACTGTAACACAGAATGATATAATGGGTGAAGTAGGCATACATGTATATGAGTAAGTAAGGGGATGTCACGGAGTAAGTGAAACTATTAATACACTTTTGCTAGTTTATCTCTTTCTTTGAATTATTTGATACTATTTATAGAATGGATTTTTCACGCAAAAACCCCCGATTTATGGTCTTTCTGCAATGGATGCGATTTAATTCACTTTTCTCAGTTCTTTAGTTTATGATTCAGTCGTTTTCAATTGTTATTTTGTCTATATTTGATGAGATCAAATCATGTACGTTTTTTGCTAATATTCGTTTATACGACGTTTGTTGTCTTTTGTTCTCTATCTTGTTCTTTTAATTTTTCATTGTGTACGCTTATAACAGGAAACTATGAAAGTTTGATTTTACTAAAAAAAAAAAAAAAAAAAAAAAAAAACCGAAAGAAGCATACCCATTCTTGAATACAAGATATTTAGTTTGTTTCCTAGCTCTGAATGATGTATCAGTAATGTGTGGTCTGTTATTTACAAGAGGGTCATATACATAAGAAAGTATCACTACCCCTTCCAACATCCGGAAGTACCGACCCCGCCCACTCTATTAAAGAACATCCGGTGATACTGCCCCGCCCCCCTGTAGAGGGATTCCAGTTGCAAACGACTGCAAAATACACAGTTTATAAAACGAAATACTCTTTTCATATTCAAGCTGTTCAAAGTCCGTGGTAGAGTTAATGGAAGACAGTGAAATTATGACAAGATGCTATAGACACTATTTGTGAGATAGCCAAAGTGTCTCAAATGGTGTCAGATTCGACAAACTAATCTGAACAATGAGTATGTCCCACAGGGTGTCGGATTAGACATGTAAATAATAACTATGTGTAATGTCCCAAAGTATGTCGGATCAAACGGTAATCTGACTAGTACGTTGTGTCTCTGAGTGTTTCACATTAGACAGGTTAATCTGATCATTATGTTGTGTCCAACAGGATGTCAGGTTAGAAAGGTCAATATTACCAATATATTGTCTCACAGGGTGTCAGCTTAGAAAGGTCAATATTACCAATATATTGTCTCACATGGTGTCAGGTTAGAAGAGTGAATCTTACCAATATATTGTCTCACAGGGTGTCAGGTTAGAAAGGTCAATATTACCAATATATTGTCTCACAGGGTGACAGGTTAGAAGAGTCAATATTACCAATATATTGTCTCACAGGGTGTCAGGTTAGAAAGGTCGATATTATCAATATATTGTCTCACATGGTGTCAGGTTAGAAGAGTGAATCTTACCAATATATTGTCTCACAGGGTGTCAGGTTAGAAAGGTCAATATTACCAATATATTGTCTCACATGGTGTCAGGTTAGAAGAGTCAATATAACCAATATATTGTCTCACTGGGTGTCAGGTTAGAAAGGTCAATACTACCAATATATTGTCTCACAGGGTGTCAGGTTAGAAGAGTCAATATTACCAATATATTGTCTCACTGGGTGTCAGAATAGAAAGGTCAATATTACCAATATTTTGTCTCACTGGGTGTCAGGTTAGAAAGGTTAATACTACCAATATATTGTCTCACAGGGTGTCAGGTTAGAAGAGTCAATATTACCAATATATTGTCTCACAGGGTGTCAGGTTAGAAAGGTCAATATTACCAATATATTGTCTCACATAGTGTCAGGTTAGAAGAGTCAATATAACCAATATATTGTCTCACAGGGTGTCAGGTTAGAAAGGTCAATACTACCAATATATTGTCTCACAGGGTGTCAGGTTAGAAGAGTCAATATTACCAATATATTGTCTCACTGGGTGTCAGGTTAGAAGAGTCAATATTACCAATATATTGTCTCACTGGGTGTCAGGTTAGAAGAGTCAATATTACCAATATATTGTCTCACTGGGTGTCAGGTTAGAAGAGTCAATATTACCAATATATTGTCTCACTGGGTGTCAGGTTAGAAGAGTCAATATTACCAATATATTGTCTCACTGGGTGTCAGGTTAGAAGAGTCAATATTACCAATATATTGTCTCACTGGGTGTCAGGTTAGAAGAGTCAATATTACCAATATATTGTCTCACTGGGTGTCAGGTTAGAAGAGTCAATATTACCAATATATTGTCTCACTGGGTGTCAGGTTAGAAGAGTCAATATTACCAATATATTGTCTCACTGGGTGTCAGGTTAGAAGAGTCAATATTACCAATATATTGTCTCACTGGGTGTCAGGTTAGAAGAGTCAATATTACCAATATATTGTCTCACTGGGTGTCAGGTTAGAAGAGTCAATATTACCAATATATTGTCTCACTGGGTGTCAGGTTAGAAGAGTCAATATTACCAATATATTGTCTCACTGGGTGTCAGGTTAGAAGAGTCAATATTACCAATATATTGTCTCACTGGGTGTCAGGTTAGAAGAGTCAATATTACCAATATATTGTCTCACTGGGTGTCAGGTTAGAAGAGTCAATATTACCAATATATTGTCTCACTGGGTGTCAGGTTAGAAGAGTCAATATTACCAATATATTGTCTCACTGGGTGTCAGGTTAGAAGAGTCAATATTACCAATATATTGTCTCACTGGGTGTCAGGTTAGAAGAGTCAATATTACCAATATATTGTCTCACTGGGTGTCAGGTTAGAAGAGTCAATATTACCAATATATTGTCTCACTGGGTGTCAGGTTAGAAGAGTCAATATTACCAATATATTGTCTCACTGGGTGTCAGGTTAGAAGAGTCAATATTACCAATATATTGTCTCACTGGGTGTCAGGTTAGAAGAGTCAATATTACCAATATATTGTCTCACTGGGTGTCAGGTTAGAAGAGTCAATATTACCAATATATTGTCTCACTGGGTGTCAGGTTAGAAGAGTCAATATTACCAATATATTGTCTCACTGGGTGTCAGGTTAGAAGAGTCAATATTACCAATATATTGTCTCACTGGGTGTCAGGTTAGAAGAGTCAATATTACCAATATATTGTCTCACTGGGTGTCAGGTTAGAAGAGTCAATATTACCAATATATTGTCTCACTGGGTGTCAGGTTAGAAGAGTCAATATTACCAATATATTGTCTCACAGGGTGTCAGGTTAGAAGAGTCAATATTACCAATATATTGTCTCACAGGGTGTCAGGTTAGAAGAGTCAATATTACCAATATATTGTCTCACTGGGTGTCAGGTTAGAAGAGTCAATATTACCAATATATTGTCTCACTGGGTGTCAGGTTAGAAAGGTCAATATTACCAATATATTGTCTCACAGGGTGTCAGGTTAGAAAGGTCAATATTACCAATATATTGTCTCACAGGGTGTCAGGTTAGAAAGGTCAATATAACCAATATATTGTCTCCCAGGGTGTCAGTTTGAAAGGTCAATATTACCAATATATTGTCTCACAGTGTGTCAGGTAAGAAGAGTGAATCTTACCAATATATTGTTTCACAGGGTGTCAGGTTAGAAAGGTCAATAATACCAATATACTGTCTCACAGGGTGTCAGGTTAGAGAAGTGAATCTTACCAATATATTGTCTCACAGGGTGTCAGCTTAGAAAGGTCAATATTACCAATATTGTCTCACTGGGTGTCAGGTTAGAAAAGTCAATATTACCAATATATTGTCTCACTGGGAGTCAGGTTAGAAGAGTCAATATTACCAATATATTGTCTCACTGGGAGTCAGGTTAGAAGAGTCAATATTCCCAATATATTGTCTCACTGGGTGTCAGGTTACAAGAGTCAATATTACCAATATATTGTCTCACATGGTGTCAGGTTAGAAAGGTCAATATTACCAATATACTGTCTCACAGGGTGTCAGGTTAGAGAAGTGAATCTTACCAATATATTGTCTCACAGGGTGTCAGCTTAGAAAGGTCAATATTACCAATATATTGTCTCGCAGGGTGTCAGCTTAGAAAGGTCAATATTACCAATATATTGTCTCACAGTGTGTCAGGTTAGAAGAGTCAATATTACCAATATATTGTCTCACATGGTGTCAGGTTAGAAAGGTCAATATTACCAATATACTGTCTCACAGGGTGTCAGGTTAGAGAAGTGAATCTTACCAATATATTGTCTCACAGGGTGTCAGCTTAGAAAGGTCAATATTACCAATATATTGTCTCACAGGGTGTCAGGTTAGAAAGGTCAATATTACCAATATATTGTCTCACAAGGATGTCAGGTTAGAAAGGTTAATCTGACTAATGTGTTTAGCCCACAGGGTGTCGGACAAGACAGGTTAATCTGATAATTTTTCGTGCCCTAGATTAGAAAGGTTAATCTGATCAATATGTCGTGCCTTACAGGCTGTCAGATAAGACAGGTTATTTTGACCAATGTGTTGTGTCCAACAGTATGTCAGAATGGACAGGTTTCGTTGTATATGTAATATATATGTAAGATAATTCCTACATAGGCAACGAAATATGTGTAGAGGATAAGACAAGCAATTATTTGGCACAAAAAATTATATGAAATATTTTATTTCTCATAAATATATAGCAAGCATAAATACAATCTAGCTATGACCAATATTGGTCAAAAGTGCAACGAATGTACATCAGATCGAGGATGAGATCGATATGCCACCATCATACAAGATCGATGACGTTCAATTTGTCAACTTCCGTTCCATAATCGACTGATATCGATATTCTTCACGATGCCTGGTGGAATCAACCTGGAAAACAAAGTTATCGAATAATAACAAAGTGTACGTTCTCCACGACAAAATCTTACATCATTTGTCATGTGACGTCATTTTAAAACTGATTACCATAAAGTATGTTGACCACGTTAGTCATACGTTTCTTTAAACTTGTCAGTTTGTCTAATCGTGTCTGCTTAAAACATTCTTAGACATTACGTGTATCGAAAATAAGTCAAAAACGAGAATATTCCGCTAATCGGTAGTCCAACCAAGTAAAATGATACCGTGTGTATTCGAAAACGAGGGGCGGGCCACCCACTAGCGAGGGACGGTCTACCTACATCACGAGGGGTGGGGTAAATACCTAACGAGGGACGGGCTACCAACATCACGAAGGTGGGGTAAATACCTAACGAGGGACGGGCTACCTACATCACGAGGGATGGGGTAAATACCTAACGAGGGACGGGCTACCAACATTACGAAGGTGGGGTAACTACCTAACGAGGGACGGGCTACCTACATCACGAATGTAGGGTAAAAATACCTAACGAGGGACGGGCTACCTACATCACGAAGGTGGGGTAAATACCTAACGAGGGACGGGCTACCTACATCACGAATGTGGGGTAAATACCTAGCGAGGTACGCGCTTCCTACATCACGAGGGGTGGGGAGGGGCTGTCTTAAATCCTAGCAAAAATGACGGGACATCTGATCGACGTCCATTACAGGAAAACTTAACCCTGAAGATTTCATGTTCCAATATAAAGTAAATAAAACTAACTTTAAACACCCCACCCCATAGCAACATTGTCATAACATCCCAAAATCCTTATTTCTGATTTTATGTCCATAATAATCATGTTTATTTTTTTCAGAACAACTCATGTGCTTTCCAAGTTAATGATGCTCAGTTTTGTGAATTGTTGCATAAAATGTTATTGAAATAAACTGATTACATGTTTTGACAATTTAATCAAACTGCATTGTTCCTTGAAGGCCCTATATTTCCAATGGTTAAGTTATTCTGTAAGCTATGGGCTTTTAGAAACTTATGACAAACTACATGTGCCTACCTAGCGAGGGACGGGGTACCAGTAGTTGATCTGACGCTGGATGCACAGTGGGAACAGAACCATGTGTGCCTCCTCAAATCGCTGACAGAACTTCCTCTCCCAGTACAGGTTATCCTGTGGCAGCTCTTTGGTCAGTACCACGGACAGCTCTAGTCCGTAGTTAAACAACATCATGGCTTCTGACCGCTTGGCGAAATTGGCTTTGTCCCTCTTGCGACTTCCAGAAGGCTTCCAAAATGACCTCCTTTTGACCTGGCATGGGACAGTACCGCAGTGACGACAGCGTGAAGGCCCTGTTCATGCACCAATGACATGTATGTTAGGATAGAAGAAGAAAAACCAATAGATTGATTCAACATGAAACTATATCGTGTAGATCGGAACGACACGACCATCAGCAGTGCGATTCAGCCAAAGTGCCTTAAAAATGAAGTTTAAGTATTCAAATTATATCAAAAATTCAACGAGTGAGTTTACTGAATCGTTAGTATACTATTTATGTTATAAGAGCTATTTCCCTTGATGGTGCTTTCACGTTACGTCATTTCCCCGTTTTTCTAGGCTAATTTACTTTTTTTCCGTAATGTTGATAGAACTTAACGTCCTGTTAGAGAATTATCCAGTGTTTTCTCTGGTTACATTTATAAGCTATTTATATTTGTAACCGTGGCTCAGTTTTTGAGATAAAATAATGTATTACTTTTCATCCCAGCACAAAATATACGTTGACGCAATTCCTGATGACACAATGTTAAATTTTGCCGTAAAAATGTTTTGTCCAACTAACTCATTATGGTTAGAGTCTTATGAAACGGATAAGTATATTCATATATAAGCTGTATGCTAAATTTCATAAAAGCTGGACTGAAAATTAAGCAAGGAAAAATAATTTTCCAGAAGTAAATTACCATAAAATTCAATAGGAAAGTGACGAAAACGTTTAAGAATTTTGGCATTTTTTTTAAAATACAAGAAAAAACTTAGAAGGAAAGGAGGAACCAAAAGGAATGGCGTTGATGTATTTTTATATAATCACAAAATTGATACTTTAACATTTTAACTGCAATCATCAATATTACTTACGATTCCACCATGCGCGGACCATTAAAACCATGGCCGACCATCTCTCTTTGGCGCTCTTTCTGATCGACGGCGCATAGCCCAACAGCAGGGTTAGAAGCACACAGAGAAGGGTGCAGAATACCTCATTTCCAATTCGCTAGAATGATTATAAATGTGATCAGTTAATATTTCAGACCCTCTTTCTCGTTTCTCCTCCCCTTTTATTAATATTGATATATTTTTTTTATATCTTGTTCTGCCCTAAACTTTTTTCGTTTTTTGGATATAAAATTTGTATATTACTTGATGTAAAATATATTTCATAATATGTTTATACGGAGAAGATGCACAAAGTTGTTAGAACTTGTTTCTGATCCATTTGTCTGCACATAAAATAACTTTAAATCAAAATCAGTGTTTCAGACTCGCGAATTCAGATGGATAAAAAAAGCCCAGTGACGCGAACAAAAATGGGGTAACAAAGCGAAAAGATTATTTAATAACAACGGTGCAAAAATACTGAGCAAGGTGTCTTAAATATCAACAGGACATACATCAAAACTAAAATACATACCCAAGTCAAATCGGCAGATGTTGGACAAACTTTCTCAATTTCTGTTGCGGTGAAGTACTGGAAGAATCTTTTGGTGTATCCAGGCTCTAGCTCCACGCTAAACAAATAATACAAAATAATGATTAATTATTTCCAAACTTTGAATGAAACTATTCCTAAAAATTGAAAACGTGTATTCACGTTAGAAATAACACCATGCGTAATTTCAACTTACAATCAGTACGGAATAGATGCAAACTTACCACGTAAGGTCCCGATATACAGCAGGACCTCGGTGCACTGCGCTCATCATTACAACATATATCAAGAATAATTTGATATCCATTGTGGTAATCCAGGTATTAATACAAAAAGATAATTTCAGGGGAGAGACTGATCATCTCCGCCTTTGCCGATTGCTAAGCAGCTAAGCAACAAGTATCTGACGTCACAAAAGACTTCTTCCATCATTACGTCATGCAACTATCTGTTCACTGTGTGCGAAACGATGATACACTGATGACAATGGCATTTCTCTATAAATAAGTAATAACATTGTACATTTTTCTTACATGAAGGTGTCTGCCCCCAGTTTACAGCGACTGTGATCAATTCTTCTAGGAGTCAAATTTGGGACTGTAGCGACATTGAGCAATTTCGTTACGAGTCCATTTCGGGATTGTAGCGACATTGAGCGATTCCGTAACGAGTCAAATTTGGGACTGTAGCGACATTGAGCGATTTCGTTACGAGTCAAATTCGGGACTGTAGCGACATTGAGCGATTTCGTAACGAGTTAAATTCGGGACTGTAGCGACATTGAGCGATTCCGTAACGAGTCAAATTTGGGACTGTAGCGACATTGAGCGATTTCGTAACGAGTCAAATTCGGGACTGTAGCGACATTGAGCAATTCCGTAACGAGTCAAATTCGGGACTGTAGCGACATTGAGCAATTCCGTAACGAGTCAAATTCAGGACTGTAGCGACATTGAGCAATTTCGTAACGAGTTAAATTCGGGACTGTAGCCGACATTGAGCGATTTCGTAAGGAGTCAAATTCGGGACTGTAGCGACATTGAGCAATTCCGTAACGAGTCAAATTCGGGACTGTAGCGACATTGAGCAATTCCGTAACGAGTTAAATTCGGGACTGCAGCGATATTGCGCGATTTGGCTAGGATTCAAATTCGGGACTGTAGCGACATTGAGCAATTCCGTTACGAGTCAAATTGGGAACTTTACAGTGACATTGAGCGTTTTCGTTAGTAGTAAAACTTGAAACAAGCGATAATGACTAATTCCGCTCAAATTCAAACCAAGGAAGAGCAATAATTATCGCTAGGGGGTTGAACTCTGGACTAAAGCAACAGTGAGTGATTCTACACCAGTTGTAATATTACACGCAAGGAAGAGTTCCACTGTGAACTTTTAGAAAATGACGTAACGAAAATGAGTTTTTTTACTGGCTTAGAGTAATTTCCAATGATAAGTTCCTAGGCTTTTCGGTCCATCAATTAAACGTTCATTTTGTTGCAGTTCATTTGTAAGCCATTGAAGGTCCTGAGGTCGACCCCAGCATGATTTCCTTTTTTATTTTCGAACTTTCAATTTTAGAATTTAGAACAATTTGCTATAATGCTGTATAACGCATGGCAACAAGTATACTCTTTTTGTAATATGTCTTTTGAAAGGAATTATGAAAGTATTTCACAATGGTGTCAATATTTATAAAAAGTTACACTTGTTGATACACTTTATCTTTACTATAAATATTAATCAATGGAGTCATTTGTTCAGGATTCAAGGAGTTGAATATTGGCTCATATATTCAAAATTCTTCAACGGAGTGAATACTGGACATTGAATTTTTAGCTTGTAAGCTTAAATGCTAGCTATACAACTCAGTTGTTAAGAAATGAGTCAAATATTAACATCCTGGGCCCAGTTGTTCAAAAGATGATTAGCTTAATCAGTGATTAGCGAACATTTTAATTTTGGTGTATCTTTATACAGAGCCATTGAATTAGTTACAACTTTCCAGGTATCAAATATTTAATAGAGTAAATTTACATCCAAAATTACGAGTTTTTACCTTGTGTATTGACGAGATTATTAAAGGTTGAATAATGTTGTTAAACAGTGATTAAGCTAACTAACTTTTGAACAACTGGGCCCTGATCTTATGAGGTATTTCTTAGATCCGGGTAAGGTTATTCTGATATAGACGCCTGGTAAATATTCTCGTTGTTAACTCAATCAAATGGAGACTCCTGGTACAGATACTCATTGTTAACTCTATCAAATGTAGACTCCTGGAACAGATACTCATAGTTAACTCTATCAAATGTAGACTCCTGGTACAGATACTCATAGCTAACTCTATCAAATGTAGACTCCTGGTACAGATACTCATTATTAATTCTATCAAATGTAGACTCCTGGTACAGATCCTCATTATTAACTCTATCAAATGTAGACTCCTGGAACAGATACTCATAGTTAACTCTATCAAATGTAGACTCCCGGAACAGATACTCATTGTTAACTCTATCAAAGGTAGACTCCTGGTACAGATACTCATAGCTAACTCTATCAAATGTAGATTCCTGGTACAGATACTCATTGTTAACTCTATCAAAGGTAGACTCCTGGTACAGATACTCATAGCTAACTCTATCAAAGGTAGACTCCTGGTACAGATACTCATAGTTAACACTATCAAATGTAGACTCCTGGTACAGATACTCATTATTAACTCTATCAAATGTAGCCACCGGTACAGATACTCATAGTTAACTCTATCAAATGTAGACTCCCGGTCCAGATACTCATAGTTAACTCTATCATATGTAGACTCCTGGTACAGAACCTCGTTGTAAACTCTATCAAATGTAGACTCCTGGTGCAGATACTCATAGTTAACTCTATCATATGTAGACTCCTGGTACATAACCTCATTGTAAACTCTATCAAATGTAAACTCCTGGTACAGATACTCATAGTTAGCTCTATCAAATGTAGACTCCCGGTACAGATACTCATTGTTCTCCTGGTACAGAACCTCATTGTAACCTCTATCAAATGTAGACTCCTGGTACAGATACTCATAATTAACTCTATCAAATGTAGACTCCTGGTACAGATACTCATTGTTAACTCTATCATATGTAGACTCCTGGTACAGAACCTCATTGTAAACTCTATCAAATGTAGACTCCTGGTACAGATACTCATAGTTAACTCTATCAGATGTAGACTCCCGGTACAGATTATCATTGTTAACTCTATCAAATGTAGACTCCTGGTACAGATACTCATTGTTAACTCTATCAAATGTAGACTCACAGTACCAGGAGTCTACATTTGATAAAGTTTACAATGAGGTTCTGTACCAGGAGAACAATGAGTATCTGTACCGGGAGTCTACAGTTGATAGAGTTAACAATGAGTATCTGTCCCGGGAGTCTACATTTGATAGAGTTAATTATGAGTATCTGTACCAGGAGTCTACATATGATAGAGTTAACAATGAGTATCTGTATCGGGAGTCTACATTTGATAGAGTTAACTATCAAATGTAGACTCCTGGTACTGTGAGTCTACATTTGATAGAGTTAATTATGAGTATCTGTACCAGGAGTCTACATTTGATAGTTAACTCTATCAAATGTAGACTCCTGGTACAGATACTCATTGTTAACACTATCAAATGTAGACTCACAGTACAGATACTCATTGTTAACTCTATCAAATGTAGACTCCCGGAACAGATACTCATAGTTAACTGTATCAAATGTAGACTGGTACAGATACTCATTGTTAAATCTATCAAATGTAGACTCACAGTACAGCTACTCATTGTTAACTCTATAAAATGTAGACTCCTGCTACAGATACTCATTGTAAACTCTATCAAATGTAGCCTCCTGGTACAGATATTAATTGAACTAAATTAAGACTGCTGTAGACATACTCAAATGTTAACTCTGGGCACATCAAGTCATTGTTCACTCCTCTCTCCATGATAAATCAAAACAACACATGAAGATATTGGGATTGTTTCTTTTATTATTTCTGATACCTTATGTAAGCTTATTGTACTGGCAACATGAGATAACCAATACGTTAAAAGTATATTTAACTCTATCAAATGTAAAATCCTGGTACAGATACTCATTGTTAAATCTATCAAATGTAGAATCCTGGTACAGATACGTGCTGTTAACTCTATCAAATGTAAAATCCTGGTACAGATACGCATTGTTAACTCTATCATATGTAGACTCCCGGTACAGATACTCACAGTTAACTCTATCAAATATAGACTCCTGGTACAGGTACTCATAGTTAACTGTATCAAATGTAGACTGGTACAGATACTCATGGTTAACTCTATCAAATGTAGACTGGTACAGATACTCATAATTAACTCTATCAAATGTAAAATCCTGGTACAGATACCCATTGTTAACTCTATAAAATGTAGACTCCTGCTACAGATACTCATTGTAAACTCTATCAAATGGAGACTCCTGGTACAGAACCTCATTGTAAACTCTATCAAATGGAGACTCCTGGTACAGGTACTCATAGTTAACTCTATCATATGTGGACTCCCGGTACAGTTACTCATTGTTAACTATATCACATGTAGACTCCAGGTACAGATACTCATTGTAAACTCTATCAAATGTACACTCCCGGTACCGATACTCATAGTTAACTCTATCAAATATAGACTCCTGGTACAGGTACTCATAGTTAACTCTATCATATGTAGACTCCCGGTACAGTTATTCATTGAACTAAATTAAGACTTCTGGTCAGATATTCATAGAACTATATTAAGACTCCTGTAAACATACTCAAATGTTAACTCTGGGCACATCAAGTCATGGTTTACTCCTCTCTCCATGATAAATCGAAACAACACATGAAGATATTGGGATTGTTTCTTTTATTATTTCTGATACCTTATGTAAGCTTATTGTACTGGCAACATGAGATAACCAATACGTTAAAAGTATATTTAACTCTATCAAATATAGACTCCTGGTACAGGTACTCATAGTTAACTCTATCAGATGTAGACTCCCGGTACAGTTATTCATTGAACTAAATTAAGACGCCTGGTACAGTTATTCATTGAACTAAATTAAGACGCCTGGTACAGATATTCATAGAACTATATTAAGACTCCTGGTACAGGTACTCATAGTTAACTGTATCAAATGTAGACTCACAGTACCAGGAGTCTACATTAGATAGAGTTAACTATGCGTATCTGTACCGGGAGTCTACATTTGATAGATTTAACAATGAGTATCTGTCCCGGGAGTCTACATTTGATACAGTTAACTATGAGTATCTGTACCAGGATTTTACATTTGATAGAGTTAGCTATGAGTATCTGTACCAGGAGGCTACATTTGATAGAGCTAACAATGAGTATCTGTCCCAGGAGTCTACATTTGATACAGTTAACTATGAGTACCTGTACCAGGAGTCTATATTTGATAGAGTTAATTATGAGTATCTGTACCTGGAGTCTACATGTGATATAGTTAACAATGAGTAGCTGTACTGTGAGTCTACATTTGATAGTTAACTCTATCTAATGTAGACTCCTGGGTAGATATTCATTGAACTAAATTAAGACTCCTGGTACAGATATTCATAGAACTAAATTAAGACTCCTGGTCAGATATTCATAGAACTAAATTAAGACTCCTGTAGACATACTCAAATGTTAACTCTGGGCACATCAAGTCATTGTTCACTCCTCTCTCCATGATAAATCAAAACAACACATGAAGATATTGGGATTGTTTCTTTTATTATTTCTGATACCTTATGTAAGCTTATTGTACTGGCAACATGAGATAACCAATACGTTAAAAGTATATATAATAAGGTGTTGTAAATTGTCACAAAATATAGTTTTCTAGTGATATAATAGGAAACATTTTTACTGCAAAAGATGGACCAACCACAGAACAGAATAACTGAGGAGAAAAACATAAAACATGTACAAAATCTCTCCAATACATCAGAAATTATTATTATATCACTTATTATTGATAAAGACCCACCTTTATTGGTGCATAGGTAAGTAACAAACCTAAAATTGCAGATGAGAAAATCTGCATTTAAACCCTACATCAGATATTTCAGAGAAAATAAGACTCTCCTCTTATTTTATAAACTTTAGACCAAAAATGACAAATTTTTTTATGTATAAAACAAACATTTCTATTTATAAAAATATCCTTTACGTTGAAATGAACACAAATGTTAACAAAAAAGTTGCAATTAATTTCTTGCGCTGATATAAGCTGATATAACAATCAGTTTTAGACCAAAATTACTTATATTTCCATTTCATCATTCTTCAGAGAGCTGTAACGCGTTTAAATGTAGGTATGCAAATATTTTAGAGAAAACTATTTTCCAACATTGTTTTTTATTCAAAAGGAACATCTCACTATAGGGGACAACTATTCAACCAATAAAAAGGACAAACAAAAATTTATAGTAGCATTCTTTTTTACAATTAGGCAAACTATGTTTTTTCTTAAATTTGCATAATGCTCTTCAAATTTTAAGTAGCGTGAATTTATTTTTCATTTTTTTTAAAGCATAAAATCTTCTTTAACACTCATTTTAAAATGACATTTATCGGTAAACCTATTATAAATTGAAATTCAAACACAAAATTTTGCAGATTTAAACCCAGGGACTATCAACATGTCATCAAAACTCAGCTACTGTAAAGCTGTAGGTTCAATCACAAGCAGAGCTTTTTTGCAATGCTTAAATTTCAGATATTACCAGCAAATTTAGATATGTTTTTAAATAAATAGATTGATTCTAGATGTTTCCTTAATTCCATTATAAAGATCAGGAATGTCACAATGTCATGTTCCTTGTAAGTTTGATGAAACCTCGTCAGAATAAAAAAATATATAAATAAATTACATCATTTTGACATTTTTTCTAAGACTTAAAACTTAAAATTCAACTTTATCTAGATTTTCAGATTATTAAAATAGTTGTTTTTTCTTTTTTGCAATGTTTACATTTCAGATAAAACCAGCAAATTGAGATATGTTTTTATATAAATAGATTGATTCTAGATGTTTCCTTAAGTTGTTTTGCTCCTATCCAGTATTTTATTAACCCTTTCACCACTGTAGACCATAATGGACTCATCCAGATCACGGGAGAATCTACTTAAGTTGCATAGAGGTGGAAGGGTTAATTCCAATATAAAGATCAGGAATGTCACAATATTCCTTGTTAGTTTGATGACACCTCGTCAGAAAAATATATATAAATAAATTACATCATTTTGACATATTTTCTAAGACTTAAAGAGCCAAAATGTCTGGATTAACAAAATTCAACTTTATCTAGATTTTCAGATAATTAAAAATTTGTTGAACTAAGTAAGCATCCAACACTCATTTTATTTTAAGGGCATTCAATATGTCAGACATGGCTTGCTCTGATTATAAGGAAACGTTTGTAAACAATGAATATCAAAATAATGCAAATCATCTTACTGAATAAAAAACAAAGTGATCAATATACTCTTGTTCCCTTTTTTAAAATGTTAAGATTTTTCAAAAATAACAAACAGTTTCTGTGATTTAAGTTCGTAAGATTAAATGTCTTGCACAAACTTCGAAAAAAACCGAATCGGTATGAAGTAAAATTTTGTTTATGCCGAGACATAACCTTCATAACTCATTGTTAACTCTATCAAATGTAGACTCCCGGTACAGATACTCATAGGTAACTCTATCAAATGTAGACTCCCAGTACAGATACTCATAGTTAACTCTATCAAATGTAGATTCCCGGTACAGATACTCATAGTTAACTCTATAAAATGTAGACTCCCGGTACAGATACTCATAGGTAACTCTATCAAATGTAGACTCCCAGTACAGATCCTTATTTTTAACTCTATCATATGTAGACTCCTCCCGGTACAGATACTCATAGTTAACTCTATCAAATGAAGACTCCCAGTACAGATACTTATTTTTAACTCTATCATATGTAGACTCCCGGTACAGATACTCATTGTTAACTCTATCAAATGTAGACTCCCGGTACAGATACTCATAGTTAACTCTATCAAATGTAGACTCCCAGTACAGATACTTATTTTTAACTCTATCATATGTAGACTCCCGGTACAGTTATTCATTTTCAACTTTATCATGGTGCAGATTTTCATTAACTCAATCCTCTAAGTACAGATATTCATTTAATCGAATTCAGACTCCTGGTACAGATATTCATTTAATCGAATTCAGACTCCTGGTACAGATATTCATTTAATCGAATTCAGACTCCTGGTACAGATATTCAATAATTCAAATTTAGACTCTTGGTACAGATATTCATCGAACTAAATTAAGACTCCTGGTCAGATATTCATTGAACTAAATTAAGACTCCTGGTACAGATATTAATTGAACTAAATTAAGACGCCTGGTACAGATATTCATTGAACTAAATTAAGACTCCTGGTACAGATATTCATTGAACTAAATTAAGACTCCTGGTACAGATATTCATTGAACTAAATTAAGACTCCTGGTACAGATATTCATTGAACTAAATTAAGACTCCTGGTACAGATATTCATTGAACTAAATTAAGACTCCTGGTACAGATATTCATTGAACTAAATTAAGACTCCTGGTACAGATATTCATTGAACTAAATTAAGACTCCTGGTACAGATATTCATTGAACTAAATTAAGACTCCTGGTACAGATATTCATTGAACTAAATTAAGACTCCTGGTACAGATATTCATTGAACTAAATTAAGACTCCTGGTACAGATATTCATTGAACTAAATTAAGACTCCTGGTACAGATATTCATTGAACTAAATTAAGACTCCTGGTACAGATATTCATTGAACTAAATTAAGACTCCTGGTACAGATATTCATTGAACTAAATTAAGACTCCTGGTACAGATATTCATTGAACTAAATTAAGACTCCTGGTCAGATATTCATTGAACTAAATTAAGACTCCTGGTACAGATATTCATTGAACTAAATTAAGATTCCTGGTCAGATATTCATTGAACTAAATTAAGACTCCTGGTACAGATATTAATTGAACTAAATTAAGACGCCTGGTACAGATATTCATTGAACTAAATTAAGACTCCTGGTACAGATATTCATTTAACTAAATTAAGACTCCTGGTACAGATATTCATTGAACTAAATTAAGACTCCTGGTCAGATATTCAATGAACTAACTTAAGACTCCTGGTCAGATATTCATTAAACTAAATTAATACTCCTGGTAATGATATTCATTGAACTAAATTAAGACTCCTGTAGACATACTCAAATGTTAACTCAAGTCATTGTTCACTCCTCTCTCCATGATAAATCAAAACAACACATGAAGATATTGGGATTGTTTTTTTTTATTATTTCTGATACCTTATGTAAGCTTATTGTACTGGCAACATGAGATAACCAATACGTTAAAAGTATATATAATAAGGTGTTGTAAATTGTCACAAATGTAGTTTTCTAGTGATATAATACGAAACATTTTTACTGCAAAAGATGGACCAAACCACGTAACAGAATAACTGAGGAGAAAAACATAAAACATGTACAAAATCTCTCCAATACATCAGACAAGAGGGAGGGCAACAGGTACAACCTCGGCCCTGGCCCTCCCCTATCCCTGTTCTCTACTATTTGGCGGGTTCCACTTATTATTGATCAAGACCCACCTTTATTGGTGCATAGGTAAGTAACAAACCTAAAATTGCAGATGAGAAACTTGCATTTAAACCCTACAACAGATATTTCAGAGAAAATAAGACTCTCCTCTTATTTTATAAACTTTAGACCAAAAATGACAATTTTTTTTATGTATAAAACAAACATTTCTATTTATAAAAATATCCTTTACGTTGAAATGAACACAAATGTTAACAAAAAAGTTGCAATTAATTTCTTGCGCTGATATAAGCTGATATAACAATCAGTTTTAGACCAAAATTACTTATATTTCCATTTCATCATTCTTCAGAGAGCTGTAACGCGTTTAAATGTAGGTATGCAAATATTTTAGAGAAAAACTATTTTCCAACATTGTTTTTTATTCAAAAGGAACATCTCACTATAGGGGACAACCATTCAACCAATAAAAAGGACAAACAAAAATTTGTAGAAGCATTTTTGTTTTACAATAATTAGGCCAACCATGTTTTTTAACATTTTTGCTTAATGCATTTCATAATTCTATTCAAATTTTAAGTAGCGTGAATTCATTTTCAATTTTTTTAAAGCATGAAATCTTCTTTAAAACTCATTTTAAAATGACATTTATTGGTAAACCTAATATAAATTAAAATTCAAACACAAAATTTTGCCGATTTAAACCGCGGAACTATCAACATTTTGTCATCGAACCTCTGCTACTGTGAAGCAGTAGCTGAATCACAAGCAGAGCTTTTTTGCAATGTTTAAATTTCAGATATTACCAACAAATTTAGACATGTTTTTAAATAAATAGATTGATTCTAGATGTTTCCTTAATTCCAATATAAAGATCAGGAATGTCACAATGTCATGTTCCTTGTAAGTTTGATGAAACCTCGTCAGAATAAAAAAATATATAAATAAATTACATCATTTTGACATATTTTCTGAGACTTAAAGATCTAAAGTGTCTGGATTAACAAAATTCAACTTTATCTAGATTTTCAGATTATTAAAACAATTTTTTTTTTCTTTTTTGCAATGTTTACATTTCAGATTTTACCTGCAAATTTAGATTTGTTTATAAATAAATAGATTGATTCTAGATGTTTCCTTAAGTTGTTTTGCTCCTATCCGGTATTTTGTTAACCCTTTCACCACTGTAGACCATAATGGACTCATCCAGATCACGGGAGAGTCTACTAAAGTTGCATAGAGGTGGAAGGGTTAATTCCAATATAAAGATCAGGAATGTCACAATATTCCTTGTTAGTTTGATGAAACCTCGTCAGAAAAATATATATAAATAAATTACATCATTTTGACATATTTTCTAAGACTTAAAGAGCCAAAATGTCTGGATTAACAAAATTCAACTTTATCTAGATTTTCAGATAATTAAAAATTTGTTGAACTAAGTAAGCATCCAACACTCATTTGTTTAAGGGCATTAACTATGTCAGACATGGCTTGCTCTGATTATAAGGAAACGTTTGTAAACAATGAATATCAAAATAATGCAAATCATCTTACTAAATAAAAACAAAGTGATCAATATACTCTTGTTCCCTTTTTTAAAATGTTAAGATTTTTCAAAAATAACACACAGTTTCTGTGATTTAAGTTCGTAAGATTAAATGTCTTGCACAAACTTCGAAAAAAACGAATCGGTATGAAGTAAAATTTTGTTTATGCCGAGACATAACCTGTATATAAATAAGATAAATAGATTTTGACATATGTGCAGCAGTACGAAGGATTTCACATGAATGCTTAGAAAGTCCCTCAAAGTATGTACCAACCCATCCCTCTATCTATCTACTGGTAACGGTACGGAGTTGATATGGATGTATCTTAGGAGAAAAATCTAAAATCTTTCAACATGACATGGTGCAGAGATATATGGCTAACTAAAGGTGTGAAAAAATATACATTTTATATAATTTCAACTTTAAAAACAATCTATTATCCTGCATAATTTGATATAAGTTGCAGTAAGTGTCTAGACTATATCTACCGATCAGTGATAAGTCTACTAATATATTCTACCATGTTATCTTCATAATATACTTTACAGGTATCGGCAACGTGATAAAGATGTTCTGATAAAAGTGATCAAATAGTCCTTTACTAATAATCGCTAACATTGTATCATTTGCGTAGTCATACAGAATTTTGAGAACACCATACGATTTTTATTCATTATTTACACAAACATTCATACATTTTCTTTAACATAATATTTACGACAAAAAAAGCATTGAGAAAATACAGTGCCATGATTTTGTGTTCCAAGTCATGATTCATTCCATATTCTAACTGCCACAGATCATTAATCTTTCACTGACTGTCATAATTCATGATTTGTTAGATTATCACAAATCATTGTTTACCATTCAGTTCAAATCACGATAAATTTACCAACTGTCATAAATCGTGATTTGTTAGATTATCACAAATCATTGTTTACCATTCAGTTCAAATCACGATAAATTTACCAATCGCCATAAATCATGATTTGTAAGATTATCACAAATCATTGTTTACCATTCAGTTCAAATAACGATAAATTAACCAATTGTCATAAATCATGATTTGTTTAATTTTCATCAAGAATCACATTCTGTTTACGATCACAAATCATGATTTCTTTGTTCATCAATCTTAATAAATACTGTATATGTAAAAATACAGTCAAATATTCACCCTTTGCCAGTGAACTCCATCTTCGCCGAGTGTAAATTTCACCCTTGACATGTAATTACTATATATTGTATGTTGTGCTTAACATCAACTGCCATGATAAATTCGCCCTCAATGGGGAGGGCGAGAAAGGGGATTGTTAAACTGCAGTGAAAATATCCGGGTTTACAGTAAATATTTTATCAAAGAACATCAAAACGACGACTCCTTATAACTGGTCTTTACCAATCATGTTTGCCAATGGCTACAATCATGATTTGTACACAAATTCTCAGAATCATAAACATGAATGGCACTGTATAACTTGAGGTCCCTTCAGCTCAAAATGGTCAGTCATGATAGCATCTAAAGGCTGCATTATGAATGGTCCGAATGTGACCATGGGAAATCCCAATATTTATTTATTTTGTTTAAACAACAGGATCATGCAAAGCTTTCAACACAAATAATGGCACAATGTTTAACAGGTCACTGTCTCTCCAAAGTTTCCGATTAATTTAATATAAAACTTCAAATTAAAAAGATACCTTGAGCTACTATTGAACTTAGAGGGCCTGTATACGTATCGCTCACATGGATATTAAAGCAATCCTGGCAAATTATACCCAAAGTAGGGGGCCTACACCTACTTTTATAAAATGCTGAGTCAATGCTCCAGACCAATATTGGTCAAAATCTACAGAGCCATTTTAGACAAGTAGACCTTTTAAAGGAAAAGTTGAAGTGGCAATGGATGTAAAATGGACACTACACCATGTTATAAGCTCACATGGTTCTGTGAGCTAAATATGCTGATTTTTTTTCTTCTTCATATTTTGGCTTATTCTTGTACACAATCAGTTATGTGAAACTGCATTGATATTTTTTTAATCAAAATCTCAATATGTCAGCTTTTGCCATTTTTGTGTGAAACATCCTTTGTCCATCGGAACCACATTTGAGGCCCTATGATAAACACATGACCCAATATGACAGTTTTAAATGAATGGCAATCTGTTTTCTTTCAAACACAATGTACAGTGTCTAAATTGTTCTCATCAAATGCAACGTACAATGTCTAAAATATCTTCTTGAAAACAATTTACCATCTTTAAGACTCTGTATAAAATCTTTTCAAAAACAATGAAAAACAGTGTAAACTGACAATTTGATCACAAACTTGTGGCCTGTTTATAGCTATAACAAAGTAAAATCACGCTTTAGATACAAGATGTACATATTGGACCCTGCCTCGTTTAGTCGCCTGCTGTTCAAAATATGAAACACACAACATAGTAACATAAATAAGTCATCATATAAATTCACATCTTTGCAATGAACGACTAATATACAATAGCAATATTTATTTTTTTATCAAGTAACAGTATATATATAAATAATGAAACAATTTAACAAATACGTATATACATATATATTTTTAAAAGTTTGTTATGTCGAAGTGATTGCAAAAGCATCCGTCATCAACTTTCATACAATCTGTCAAGCCTGAATGCCAAATATCAAAACTTGTGGTACCATATCACCATAGGAAATATGCCCTGTATCATATCACGGAATTAGATGTTATCTAAGTCCGTGATCATGTTCACATTCGCAAAGTCCATATTCCATGTTCAACTCAATATGTGATGATTTCAAACATTCAAGTCTTGGTGATTTTTTAAACTTTGGTATTTATTTTTATACAATCCTTATGCATGATGTTAAAATTTACACAGCACCAATCATCTGAATCCTTTAAATGTTTTTCATTCGTACGGACCCTTTGAATGTTTGTCATTAGTCTAGATCCCTTGAATATTTGTCATTAGTCTGAATCTTTGCCAAAAGTCTTGATCCTTTAAATGTTTGCCATTAGACTTTAGTCTGAATCTTTTGAATATTTGCCATAAGTCTGGATCCTTTAAATGTTTGCCATTATACTTAAGTCTGAATATTTTTAATTTTTGCCATAAGTCTGGATCCTTTAAATGTTTGCCATTAGTATGAATTCTTTTGAATCTTTGCCATTATTTTGGATACTTTAAAAGTTTGTTATTATTCTGGATCCTTCAAATGTTTGTTTTGGGTAAGATCTTTCATCATGAGGTTGTGGCTTCACCTCAAACCTATATAAATATACTGCAAAACCTTTACATAATTTAAAAAGAGCCAACTCAATACCACCAAATTAACATATTACAATGTCCCTTTTCCTATTCATAATGGCAGTATGTCACAAGGTTTCACTGTTGTGCGATGGTAACCAACAAGTGCTAAGGCGAATATCATTCAAATTTTTCTTTTCAAAAATATGAAACATCAGAGTTGTTTTCCTAAATCACCATTCTTTAGACATATATTATTTCACATCAAAATGAATTTTAATAAGATTGTATGGCAGTTATGGAAATTGTTCAGCAAATAGTCTGTGCATCCATCAAGTGATAAAGAATATAAGTGTTAATCTGAGACTTAATTGTAACAGTTTTAAACGTAAAAATCTTGAGATTAAATCAAATATCTGGTCATTTTAATCTCTTTTTTTTATTAATCTATGGCAGCATATTAAAAATGGTTATACATTTTGAACAAAGTGTTAAATGATTTGTTGTAGTTTTCACATAACAAGGGCTCATCAATTTGCACTGAAAAAAAAAGATTGTCAAAGAAAACGAAAGAAAACCCCCAAAACAAACAACATTTGGTAAAATAACTTAACAACTAATATCTAAACCATGAACTGACTGCAGTAAGATTGTCTCACATCACACCTTATTGCAGGCTCGTTATCCACAAACAAATTACACTTATCAAATACAACATTCCACTCACTGGGATGCATAAAGAATTGGTGGCGAGAAAAAAAATCCACCATTTCCAATATTGTTGTCTATACAGAATGAAGACATAGAAAAGGGTACAGACTAAATACATACATGCTTATTATGGGATGTATCAAGTAACCTTGACCTATTGACCTCTCTCTCACTAAACTCCTCAGAAAAGACACTCCATGTAATTTTGTGACCGCAAATGCAAGAACACATAAATTAAGATTTATTGTTGCAGAGACGGCAAGAGAGAAAGAAAGAGTAATCTCCCCTTGGTCATGGTCCCTCCTTATGAGATGAGATGAACATCACTTTCATGATTCAAGACTCGTACTAAATGAGAATTAATCTCCCAATACAGAGCATTATATAAAAACAGTTCAAGTTTTTGGCTCCAGCATAAAGGGATTAACTTTGGGCCGTCATCTCTGAAGCCCACATTTGATAAATATTTATGAACTACATTGTGTATCGTCAATATTTGATCGGTAAAATAACAATTAACGTGCATCTCTGTGAGTGTACGACAGACACACTATCTACAAGTACAAACTACTGGGGAGGGGGCTATAGACGTTCATCATATCACATTCTAGTTTGATAATTAGTTTAAAAAGTATTGAGATTCTTGACGAGCACTATTCCTGATAAACCAATAAATTAGTGACATTTTCAATTGAGTCCATGGTCAAATCTTTTACCCTGCAGTTATGTCTTTTTTTGAAGTCTTTCTGAAGTTTGATTTTTGTATCCTCTAATTGATGGAAGATCTGGTCCACGATTCAGAATCATCAGTTTAAACAAGTAAAGCTATTCAGTATAGCAGGGAGAATGGTGAATTTCTTCCACAATTATATCATTGTAGACCACAGGTAATACCGAAGTAGGTCTTATGAATAAGTGAGACGCCAAGAGGTCCTAAAGAATATCTTCCTTCAACACTAAATATATCACAACATCACTCTGAGACAGACAAGGCCAACTAAATGGCTACACTATTATAATTCAGACTTGAAAAAAACAGATGAAAATGCAAAAGGAGGATAAAAAGTTCAATACTGTAGCATATCTTCCAACTTTTACTCCTTTTTTTTGTAGCAACAGTTTTTCTATTTTTTAAATGTCTTTACCTTCCTTCAATAAGCTGAAGCTTCTTTTTGTGGTCTTAATCATTGTCTTGGTACTAAGCCTTTCTTCTTATGACCTCCACCTTTGTCTGATGATCTTAATCTTTCTCTATTGACCTTATACTTCCTTTAGCGATCTTAACTTTTCACTAATGACCTTCCTAATGAATTAAATGTACCTTTAGTGACCTTAACCTTCCTCTTGTGACATTAACCTTTCTCTTGTGACCTTAACCTTCCTCTTGTGACCTAAACCATCCTCTTGTGACCTTAACCTTCCTCTTGTGACATAAACCTTCTTCTTGTGACCTTAAACTTCCTCTTGTGACCTTAACCTTCCTCTTGTGACCTTAACCATCCTCTTGTGACCTTAAACTTCCTCTTGTGACCTTAACCTTCCTCTGTGACCTTAACCTTCCTCTTGTGACCTTAACCATCCTCTTGTGACCTTAACCTTCCTCTAATGACCTTAACCTTCCTCTAATGACCTTAACCTTCCTCTAGTGACCTTAACCTTCCTCTAGTGACCTTATCGGGTTTTTTAGTGATACAAAACTTTCTCTGCAGACCATGACATTCCTTTTGTAATCAAAACCTTTTCTGTAACGACCTTGGCCTTTTCCTTCAGAGACTTTCATCTTTCTCTAGTGACCTTCACCTTTTTTCTAGTGACATTAACATTTTTCTAAATAACCAATGGTCCCCTTTCTAACATAGTCAGTATACATAAAACCACCTCTAAGCTGTTACAAGTCTTCTCTATGTAGCTAAATGTGGCATTATATTTTGTGCTCCAATATTTTATATGGTACAACCATAAAATCAGCTGTTTAACTCTGACTACAGAATTCATAATATCAGTTTAATAAAGCCTATTAGCATCAAGCTTTAAGGGAGAGAATCCATTCACTTTTCTTTGTGTGGTTGCCATATTTCATGTACATTCATACCAGAACAGTTATAAGTTACTGGTCTTATTAGGCAGTTTGAAATAATTCATATTAACATATTCCAAGCAATATGTTGACGAAAAAAAACCTGCATACTGTGAAATCACTAATTTACATGTTTATAATTTTGTTGATTTCTTGGGTGCTCTTCATTCCCCCAATTCAGAGGTCCACAAAGTAATTACAGGTTTGACATAAAGCTATTATCCGTATTAGTGGATAATCCACAAATTCATGTACTCGTATAAGGGTGGTTTTTTTGGAGGAAACCACGAAATTTGGGCCCAACAAAAATATCTGATTTCAAAGTAACAAATATCCTGACCTGCAGAGCAGTGGATAAACTTCCGGTTCTATAATGAAGAGGCCATGGACTAAATAAACACCTGCATCAAAACTTTGTGAAGATGAAAATTATCAAAAAAGATTTTTGTATATAACAACTCTGTGTCAGTTAAATGCCAACTTGGAACTCTTTGTTGTTGGAGATACAAAACCAAGTGCTGGGACTCTCTTACCTTAAATTGAATTAAAAAAAAAATATGTGTCTGCAAATGATGAAATTGAACATGAACATGATTTTTGAAAAAAATATTGTAGACTACAAATCTGCTTATGAACAATCGGATTATGATATTAAATCTAATCTTTTAACCTCTCTACGAAGACAACCGGTCTATTATGAATACAAAGAATCTACTCCCATCATTGGCACAGACACATGACACTATATAGGGCAAGTTAATGTTCAATAACAAATCTCCTGTTGTCTGATCAGGGAAAAAGGCAAAAATATGACGCGTTTCGGTCGTAAATGATATCAATTCTACGGATGAGACTGATGAGACATGAGAAGTGCGATGAGAGTAATGATGAAGGTGTAGGTAGGTGGCTCCGACTCTCACATCCTCTACTTCTTTTCTTGTGTACACGACGGGGAATGGTCCTCTTTACTCATCGCCAACTTTTTCATCTGTCGGATGACAGCTGTAGCGTTATAGGCTTGCTGAAGAGAAGAACAAAAACTTCAAGTTAGAACAGTTACCATCACAAATATAGGTTAGAAATACAATTGTAGCTATAAATTAACACATTTGATTTGGTTACTCAAGGTCAAACAATCCCGGATTTTTAGGGTTTTTTTCAGGTGAAGAATAAATTCAAACAAGTTAATTAAGATTACTACGGTAAGTATGACTAGTTATAAAGACAGGTGTAGCTGAAGACAGGGAGCCTCTCATTTAGGTTTGACTGTAGTTATAGTCTGGGAGCCTCTCATTTAGGTTTGACTGTAGCTATAGACATGGAGCCTCTCAGGCAGGTTTGACTGTAGTTATAGACAGGGAGCCTTTTGACTGTAGCTATAGACATGGAGCCTCTCAGGCAGGTTTGACTGTAGTTATAGACTGGGAGCCTCTCAGGCAGGTTTGACTGTAGTTGTAGACAGGGAGCCTCTCAGGCAGGTTTGACTGTAGTTGTAGACAGGGAGCCTCTCAGGCAGGTTTGACTGTAGTTGTAGACAGGGAGCCTCTCAGGCAGGTTTGACTGTAGTTATAGTCTGGGACCCTCTCAGGCAGGTTTGACTGTAGCTATAGACAGGGCGCCTCTCAGGCAGGTTTGGCTGTAGTTATAGACAGGGAGCCTCTCAGGCAGGTTTGACTGTAGTTATAGTCTGGGAGCCTCTCAGGCAGGTTTGACTGTAGCTATAGACAGGGAGCCTCTCAGGCAGGTTTGACTGTAGTTATCGACAGGGGGCCTCTCAGGTAGGTTTGAATGTAGCTATAGACAGGGGGCCTCTCAGGCAGGTTTTACTGTAGTTATAGACAGGGGGCCTCTCAGGTAGGTTTGACTGTAGCTATAGACAGGGGGCCTCTCAGGTAAGTTTTACTGTAGTTATAGACAGGGAGCCTCTCAGGCAGGTTTGACTGTAGTTATAGACTGGGAGCCTTTCAGGCAGGTTTTACTGTAGTTATAGACAGGGGGCCTCTCAGGTAGGTTTTACTGTAGTTATAGACAGGGAGCCTCTCAAGTAGGTTCAGGCAGGTTTGACTGTAGTTATAGACAGGGAGGCTCTCAGGCAGGTTTGACTGTAGTTATAGACAGGGAGCCTTTCAGGGAAGTTTTACTGTAGTTATAGACAGGGGGGCTCTCAGGTAGGTTTTACTGTAGCTATAGACTGGGAGCCTCTCAGGTAGGTTCAGGCAGGTTTGACTGGAGTTATAGACAGGGAGACTCTCAAGTAGGTTCAGGCAGGTTTAACTGTAGTTATAGACAGGGAGCCTCTCAGGCAGGTTTGACTGTAGCTATAGACAGGGAGCCTCTCAGGTAGGTTTTACTGTAGCTATAGACAGGGAGCCTTTCAGGCAAGTTTTACTGTAGCTATAGACTGGGAGCCTCTCAGGTAGGTTTGACTAGCTATAGACAGGGGGAGTCTCAGGCAGGTTTGACTGTAGTTACAGACAGGTAGGTAGCTATAGACAGGGAGCCTCTCAGGTAGGTTTGACTGTAGTTATAGACAGGGAGGCTCTCAGGTAGGTTTGACTGTAGTTATAGACAAGGAGCCTCTCAGGTAGGTTTGACTGTAGTTATAGACTGGGAGCCTCTCAGGCAGGTTTGACTGTAGTTATAGACAGGGAGCCTCTCAGGTAGGTTTGACTGTAGTTATAGACAGGGAGCCTCTCAGGTAGGTTTTACTGTAGCTATAGACAGGGAGCCTTTCAGGCAAGTTTTACTGTAGTTATAGACAGGGAGCCTCTCAGGTAGGTTTGACTAGCTATAGACAGGGAGCCTCTCAGGTAGGTTTGACTGTAGCTATAGACTGGGAGCCTCTCAGGTAGGTTTGACTGTAATAATAGACAGGGAGCCTCTCAGGCAGGTTTTACTGTAGCTATAGACTGGGAGCCTCTCAGGTAGGTTTGACTGTAGTTATAGACAGGGAGCCTCTCAGGCAGGTTTTACTGTAGCTATAGACAGGGGGCGTCTCAGGCAGGTTTGACTGTAGTTATAGACTGGGAGCCTCTCAGGAAGGTTTGACTGTAGTTATAGACTGGGAGCCTCTCAGGTAGGTTTTACTGTAATAATAGACAGGGAGCCTCCCAGGCAGGTTTTTCTGTAGTTATAGACCGGGAGCCTCTCAGGTAGGTTTTACTGTAGCTATAGACGGGGAGCCTCTCAGGCAGGTTTGTTTGTTGTTACAGACAGGGAGCCTCTCATGTAGGTTTGACTGTAGTTATATACAGGGAGCCTCTCAGGCAGGGTTTACTGTAGCTATAGACTGGGAGCCTCTCAGGAAGGTTTGACTGTAGTTATAGATAGGGAGCCTCTCAGGTAGGTTTGACTGTAGTTATAGACAGGGAGCCTCTCAGGCAGGTTTGACTGTTGTTACAGACAGGGAGCCTCTCAGGTAGGTTTGACTGTAGTTATAGACAGGGGGGGAGCCTCTCAGGCAGGTTTGACTGTAGTTATAAACAGGGAGCCTCTCAGGTAGGTTTGACTGTAGTTATATACAGGGAGCCTCTCAGGCAGGTTTGACTGTAGTTATAAACAGGGAGCCTCTCAGGCAGGTTTGACTGTTGTTACAGACAGGGAGCCTCTCATGTAGGTTTGACTGTAGTTATAGACAGGGAGCCTCTCAGGTAGGTTTGACTGTAGCTATAGACTGGGAGCCTCTCAGGTAGGTTTGACTGTAGTTATATACAGGGAGCCTCTCAGGCAGGTTTGACTGTAGTTGTAGACAGGGAGCCTCTCAGGTAGGTTTGACTGTAGTTATAGACAGGGGGCCTCTCAGGTAGGTTTGACTGTAGCTATAGACAGGGAGCCTCTCATGTAGGTTTGACTGTAGTTATAGACAGGGGGCGTCTCAGGCAGGTTTGACTGTAGTTATAGACAGGGAGCCTCTCAGGAAGGTTTGACTGTAGTTATAGACAGGGGGCCTCTCAGGTAGGCTTGAATGTAGCTATAGACAGGAAGCCTCTCAGGTAGGTTTGACTGTAGTTACAGACAGGTAGGTTTGACTGTTTGACTGTAGTTACAGACAGGTAGGTTTGACTGTAGTTACAGACAGGTAGGTTTGACTGTAGTTACAGACAGGTAGGTTTGACTGTAGTTATAATCTGGGAGCCTCTCAGGTAGGTTTGACTGTAGCTATAGACAGGGAGCCTCTCAGGCAGGTTTGACTGTAGCTATAGACAGGGAGCCTCTCAGGTAGGTTTGACTAGCTATAGACAGGGAGCCTCTCAGGTAGGGTTGACTGTAGCTATAGACAGGGAGCCTCTCAGGTAGGTTTGACTGTAGGTATAGACAGGGAGCCTCTCAGGCAGGTTTGACTGATGTTACAGACAGGGAGCCTCTCAGGGAGGTTTGACTGTAGCTATAGACAGGGAGCCTCTCAGGTAGGTTTGACTAGCTATAGACAGGGAGCCTCTCAGGTAGGGTTGACTGTAGCTATAGACAGGGAGCCTCTCAGGTAGGGTTGACTGTAGCTATAGACAGGGAGCCTCTCAGGTAGGTTTGACTAGCTATAGACAGGGAGCCTCTCAGGTAGGGTTGACTGTAGCTATAGACAGGGAGCCTCTCAGGCAGGTTTGACTGATGTTACAGACAGGGAGCCTCTCAGGGAGGTTTGACTGTAGCTATAGACAGGGAGCCTCTCAGGTAGGTTTGACTGTAGTTACAGACAGGAAGGTTTGACTGTAGTTACAGACAGGGAGGTTTGACTGTAGTTACAGACAGGAAGGTTTGACTGTAGTTACAGACAGGGAGGGTTGACTGTAGTTACAGACAGGGAGGTTTGACTGTAGTTATAATCTGGGAGCCTCTCAGGTAGGTTTGACTGTAGTTACAGACAGGTAGGTTTGACTGTAGTTACAGACTGGTGGTGGTAGCTATACAGACAGGTCTTACTACAATGTATATTGACTTGAAACCAATATCTTCAAATTTTTAATCAGCAGTTCACATGACAAAAATTAAATTTCCAAAACAATTGGAATTTAATCACAGATGTGTATCCATAATCTCAGTGCATCTTATTTACTATTGGCAGCATTGATAGCAGACGTGACAGATCTACTCCACTGAAAACCAACATGATCAAGTTCCTTACCTTCCACTTTGATTTTGCGAAATTCTTTTTCATTTGGGCACTAACAGAGGCGTGGATATTCTTCTCTAAGGCTGTGTCACCTGCTATCCTGAAAACACACACGTCAATATTGTGTTAACTTTTCTATAAAATACCAAACACTGTACATTAAAGACAAGCTATTCGGATTGATATGTCTTGCCTGTGCGCCGCTTTGACCGTCAAAGCACATATCAGAGAAACTAACTTAATTGGTTTAAATCCCTTTTATTTGTGCAGAAGGGAAAATATTTTTCTCCATTTCCCCTATTGGGCCCCGCTCTTCTGCCCCTGGGAGAGGGGGCATATCCTCCATTTAAATTCCCTTTGTCCAAAGATGCTCTAGAACAAGTTGCGTTAAAATCCCTTCATCGGTACAAAAGGAGAAGGATCTTTAATGTTTTCCTCTATTTCCCCTAATGGGCCCCACCCATCTGCCCAAAAGAAGGGGTCCACACACCTCAGTTTAAATAAAATTGTGATTCTTTTGTCCCTAAGCATGCTTCAGACTGCATTTGGTTTAAATCCCCTCACTTGTATAGTAGGAGAAATTTTTTCCTCTATTTCCCCTATTTTGCCCCACCCTTCTGCACCCAGAGGGGCCACACCCTCCATTTATACAAACTTGAGGCTTCTTTGTCCAAAGATGCTCTAGAACAAATTTGGTCAAAATCCTTTTATATGTTAAGAAGGAGAAGATTTTTAAAGATTTACAAATTTTCCCCCTATTTGGCCCTGCCCCTAGAGCTCCGCCCCCAGGGGGACCATACCCTCCGTTTAAACAAAACTGAGAACCCTCTGGCCATAGATGCTCCAGACCAAATTTGGTCAAAATCCTCTGAGCCGTTAAGGACTAGTAGCATTTTAAAGGAAAAAGTTGCCGGACGCTGCGCCATGGCATATTAAGCTCACTTGGCCATTTAAAACACTTGAAACTGTTGTTAACCCATGTACATTGTCAATTTTTTTCCAATGTTCCTTTTTGTTTTAGCCAGAACAGTTCCTTAGAAAATCTCTTTCATCATTCATAGACAATGTCAAACCTGTTTATAATACAGTCTATACTAACATCACGCTGTACAGATGTTGGTAATGTAATGGTTTGTTTGTTTGTTTTACGTCCTATTAACAGCTATGGTCATTTAAGGACGTGCCAGGTTTTTGTGGTGTAGGAAAGCCAGAGTTCCTGGAGAAAAAACGCCAACCTACGGCCAGTACCTGGCGACCCAGTGGTGGAGGGCTAGTGGTAGCAGAATGTCAGATACCTTAACCACTTGGCCATCGCCCCNNNNCCCCCCCCCCCCTCATCGCACTGTAAACACATATAAAACACTCATCAACCCAACTTACCAAGGAAATTTCAGAGCCTGTTTGCATGTGAATCTTGTATTATGATCTTTGCACATGAGGTGTCCGATAAATTCTTTAGCTGAAAAAACATAAAAAACATGAATATAGATAAAATGAAGTAAAAATGTTTGGTATAAAGTATAATTATATGGATGATGTACTGATCAAATCTGTATTTGACAAATAGATACTGACATTGATCAAATACTATGTTGTTAAGCTCTTCACTTTCTATGAGGTATCAAATTTACTTTTCCCAACAAAATTTGCCTAGTTTAAATTTCACAAATCACCTGTTAAGGAAAATTGCACTTAAACGTTAATCAGAAATGCAATGAATTCACTATGTTGATATTTTGCATATTAATTTCAGACTGTAAATTCAGAGATATTAAAACCTCAGATAGTGTTCTATGATACTAAGTCGTTTAACATTTAGTATTACGATGTTAGATTTCATACCAACCTGAGGGTGAAATATCATCCCAGTAAGGTGAGTCAAATTCATAATTCGCCAGTAGTATTTGCGCGAATAGCGCTGTGTCATTCTCATCGTAAAATGGCGGGTATCCACAAAGCCTGAATAAAAATGATAAAGAATTACGCAAAAAAAAGGTTTCAAAAGGTTGCTGTGACCCTTAATGAATACTGGTCAGCAGTCGAAGATTTTAAGACTCACCCAAACTCACTCAAATTTAAGTCTACAAGTTGAACATAATTTTTTCGCTCTAGTCAAAAGTAAAGATTACTTTTGTATCTTTATCATAAGACAGACTCTCAGTGGTAAAAGTAACATAGAAACAAGAACCCTATAATAGCGCCAAACCTACAAGAATAACAGTCGAAGCTAGTTCAAGTAGAAGACAGGATCAGTTGAGACACACCGAAATAATAGAGACAATAATAGCCCAACGAAAGTATGATATTTTGAAACTAATCAAAATTTTCTCTAATACTGGTATTTTATATTTTTTGGTAATTAAATTCTATTTGTTTTAACATTTTATTAGGAAAAAGAAGAATCTCAGTATAATTTTAAGTTTGTGGTTGACCAAAAGAAAATGAGTTATCTCCCTTCCATCAACATGTCTAACATTAAAATTGCAATCTGATTAAAATTTGTACCACTGCACACCTACCTAGATTGTTTTTAGAAAGGAATAAGAGACAATGATTTAATGTTAAGACTTCTTCTGCATATAACAATGGATAGTTAAAATCCGGTCAAGATACATACAACAATCAATACCAGGCCAGGAAAATAATGCTCATTTTCTTATTACAATAAATTGTTAACGGGTAATAACGGGATGGTGACATTGGACAATGAACATTTTAATATGTCTATTATATTACTTGCATCACAACAGTAATTCAAAACTAGACGGAACATCAACGTTTTTCTATGTTAATTTTTTATGGATGGGTTTCATAGGAACCTTTAAATCATTATAGCATTAGCGTGACGTGACACAAATTGTCGACCAACGGCGATATTCACCAAAGCATAATAAACATATGAACATTATTAATTTGGTAATCTTGAACCTATCAATGCATTCAATCTTTGATAAGACCAGCGTAGAAATTGTGAAGTTACTCAAACCTAGTTATGTTGCAACAAATGATAATGAAAGGAAACATGTAATTTTTGCTGGGTCATAGTTGTTAGACAATGAAAAGTGCCGTATGACAAACACATTGTCGACTACTTTTTACGCTAGTGATAGTTTTGTTTCCTGGTACTTACAATATGTAGGCTATTACACCTATAGACCAGCAGTCCACCGCCTTGCCGTACGGCTTCTGTGCTAACACTTCTGGAGCTAAAACGAAAAATAAATTGCAATCAAATATGAGCAAATTTGCACACTTGCCCCACATCAGTTTTCGTAATACATGCACCTCCGAAAGTTTATATGTTGATTACATTCAAGATATTGTAGACGGAGTGCCCGATGGAACTTTCGCCCTATGCCCATGAAAGCAATTTTCGCATGAATGTTTCCCTTCACTTTTAATTACTATGGTTATTATGCCGTTTACTTATTTCCCTGTAATGGTGAATTTGACCACATTACAGAGGGCGAAAAAGGCAGAGAAATAAACTGCAGCAAGAAAATTTCCCTGCCACAGTGTTGTGCTGAAACTTTATGTCTATAACTTAAAGATGGATGGAGGCATCACCAAATTCAATCAAATATACCTGTCCTTGATTTGATTTTAGATACAAATGTAGAACACCTGGGTCAGAACACTGACCAAGCAGCTCATTTGGTAAAAGCGACAGAGGTCAAGGGTTCAAATTCCAGTAGTGCCGCGCTGAATTTAAACACTCCGAAAACTGTTGTTGCTTATATTTTGCTTATTGAGCCTTTAGTATATTTTCATAAAACACCTGTGAGGTATTGTTTTCTTTTCAGGAATGATTTATCTGGTATCAAAGATTTACAATTGTCATGTCGGATAAAAACACTTTCCTAGGCATAGTTACAGTCTTTGTCAGTGGTATGGGGATCCTTAAGGAAGTAAATTTATCCCCAACCTGGATTTAAAACTGATCCTCACACAAGTGTTAATCACGTACAGGTGTCGTTTATGGATTTACAACAGACAGGTAACGATTCAGTCTCCGGGTACACTTACCTACGTAACCGGGTGTGCCACAGGCTGTGGCCATGATACCGGAATCCTCTGTTTTTGAAAGCCCAAAGTCACTGATCATTATTTTAGAATCTTCTTTAGGGCTATAGTACAGTAGATTTTCAGGCTGAAAAAAAAATGTCAATCACTCACTAGTAGTCATGCTCATGGCTATCAAACTGAGATTTCCTTATGTAGCAAGATCATGTCACCTTAAATCGGGAAATATTTTTCTATTTTACCAACTATTTTCTTTAAATATTGCGATAATATTTATTTACAACAGGTTGTGTCAAATAACAATCTTAAGTAACAATCCTCCAAAGTTATTACACTTGACTTTTTCTTGTTTAACTCATTGTAGATATAAAACTTGTTAATAATTTAAAAACTATCAATACATATTGTACAAGTGTCTTATCAATAGTTTAATTCCAATTGGATGATGTCCCTTCCAACATTTAGATTCCTGTAGACCACATCCCTTTCTCCCTTCAGATCCATGTATACCACTGCACTTCCTACCTTAGTTACCTGTAGACCATACACTTTCTCCCTTCAGATCCATGTATACTATGCGCCCTTCATACCTTAGTTACCTGTAGACCACATCCCTTTCTCCCTTCAGATCCATGTATACCACTGCCCTTCCTACCTTAGTTACCTGTAGACCATACACTTTCTCCCTTCAGATCCATGTATACCACTGCCCTTCCTACCTTAGTTACCTGTAGACCACACACTTTCTCCCTTCAGATCCATGTATACCACTGCCCTTTCTACCTTAGTTACCTGTAGACCACACGCTTTCTCCCTTCAGATCCATGTATACTATGCGCCCTTCATACCTTAGTTCCCTATAGTTCAATGTCCCTCTTTAAATCCCTATTGTCTACATCCCCTTGCCTTTAGAGTGATGAAGACTACATCACTTTCTACATAAAGATCCCTGTACATCGTGCCTGTTCTTACCTTTAGATCCCGATGGACCACGCCCAAATCGTGCATGAAGTCGACAGCCTCGAGGACCTGTTTGATGAGGGAGCTAGCATCTTTCTCTGTGTAACTGCCCTTCTCGACGATCCTGTCGAACAGCTCCCCACCTGTCACTCTGCAAGTACACAAAAACACATATTAAAGTTAAATGACATCTGAAAGACTTGTTCATTCTGCTAACAGTAAATCTGGTAATCATTTACCGTTTCATACATCATCTATTCAATCAGAATTGAAAGAAATATGAGTTTGCATTTTTTTTATGATGAGGCAATGGTGTACCAAGTCAAGCTTATGTTCTTAAAATGGTACCAGTTAAATATGTACCAGCAGACATTACATTACAAATCAGGGCTTTTTTCCATGAGGGTTTCGGATAATTGACCCTGGGATAAAATTGGGGAAAAAATCATCGACATAGAAACCATTTTGGGAAATCTGCATGATAATTTAACAACTCTGAATACCTGATACTGGACTGTTTAAATTTTATTCATCCCTACCGTATTAGTAAATAATTGTCTGGACCTGGTCAGGCAGGGGATAGGTAGGGGTTTATGTAATATAAATTCCTCCTTAATAAGGAGGAAGGGCACTAATTACGCTGAATACAGTATTTTTTTGTTTGACAACATTATCATCCTCACTTTCGTACATACGCTACATTTTGAAAACTCAGTTGAATGCGAGGAATTAGTTTAAATTTGAGCATAAGTTTTTTTAGATTCCTTTGATTTTGAAATGCAACTCATTCACCCCTGAAGACACATTTAAACTCTTCCAATTCAAAGTTTGGAATAGTTCATTATGAAATTTCATGATTAGGAATGGGTCCATTAAACAGACTTTAAAAGTACCCTGATAAAACCGTGTATGGCAATGCAGATGATAATTATGTAAAGCTGTATGGACAATGTTTTGCCACCTACCTACATGTACTTTGGACTACATTTATGGACTGTGATTCCATGGAATAAAATAATGATTCTATTGATGTGGCATTTGGTTAATACTCTATAGCTACATGTACTTTAAATATGAAGATGTCCTTTTTGAGATATCCTTTACAGTACAATCCATCACACACTACAGGAATACTGATCCCAGGTGTTTTGGATAAGTCTTTCTGCGTAGGTTCTTACAAAAACTTCACATGTCTTTATAAGGTTATCAGGTTTGTTATCACAGATCAGTGTTGTATCATGGGACCATTATTTTACTGCCCTTTCGGTGGGCTGAATGGTCACCATATTGGTAAAAGTCATCTTTACTGACGTGCGCGTGGACACTCTCTGTGATATTCCAGAGTTATTAAGTTATACAAGCCCATGTGTCTCTTGTGTGGTGGAAGGCTCAAATAAAGATCTTTGCATGGTTTCTGAGTATCACAGTCTCACAAGTGGAGAGAAACATGTGATATAATCAATCATTAATAAAAATTAACAGCAAGTGAAAATATCCCTGTTCCGCACTTTCGCAGAACATCTGATAAATCACAAAGAAACAGTTGTACAGCTAAACACAGGGAGACAGTACTACACATAAATACAGGGAGACAGTACTACACATAAACATAGGGAGACAGTACCGTATAAACACAAGGAGACAGTACTACACACAAACACAGGGAGACAGTACTATGCATAAACACAGGGAGACAGTACTACACATAAATACAGGGAGACAGTACTACACATAAACACAGGGAGACAGTACCGTATAAACACAAGGAGAGAGTACTACACACAAACACAGGGAGACAGTACAACATAAACACAGTGAGACAGTACTACACATAAACACAGGGTTACAGTACCACATAAACACAGGGAGACAGTTCTACACAAAAACACAGGGAGACAGTACCGTATAAACACAAGGAGACAGTACTACACATAAACACAGGGAGACAGTACCACATAAACACAGGGAGACAGTACTACACATAAATACAGGGAGACAGTACTACACATAAATACAGGGAGACAGTACTACACATAAACACAGGAGACAGTACTACACACAAACACAGGAGACAGTACCGTATAAACACAAGGAGACAGTACTACACATAAACACAGGGAGACAGTACCACATAAACACAGAGAGACACAGGGAGACAGTACCACACTGACACAGGAAGATAGTACATGTACTATACATACACAGGGAGACAGTGCTAGACATAAACACAGGGAGTTTTAAATTATATGGCTGACAAATAGTTCATCCCAGTAATCGAGAAACCACACCTTAATTAAGAGACATTGGTAAGGTCACAAATCATTGGAATCCCCCGAGGATTAATTATTTGCCCCGATGAGGTCATTTTTTTTCTTCTCCTCCACATTAAAACTCCAAACTTCATATTGGCAGATATTGCTGCTGACAAATTGTCAGCATGCTCGTAATTGTTTTATTTTTTGTCCATCTAATAAAAGAAATACTTTGAGCTCAACAGTCTGGACCTGGTACTGACAGAATCTGATTCCAATAATAAGTAACAAATTGTATCCCACATTTCGTGGAGTCACTTAAAATTGATTTCTGCACATCTTGTTAGAACAAGAAAGTCAGTTCGGAGATCATTTTACTGATTTTATTAGAAAATGCCCACTCAAAGTTTTTCGTTTCTCCCATAAAATATTACAAATGACACAAAAACAAATTAACGAGAGTTGTACCGTTCCTCGGGATTGATCTGAAATGTTGTCCTAAACTAGCGCGGAGTGATTGAAAGCAATTTCATCTATACTGAAATCTTCCTCACAATATGTGTAAACAATTTATTTCACCAGAAATTTGTTTTTCTTTTATACACATACATTTCAATTGCAATTTAGACTGGTGGAACTATTCGAACCATGCCAGTCCATAAATATTCCTCTTGTTAACTTTACATGTGTTTGGTAGTGATCTCAGTCCCCTGCATTGCCTGACTTTACAAATGAAGTCTACTTACACTTCACTCCAACCAAATTCATATTTAACTGTTGATCATGCTGTAACCTACCATACATCACATTGTACAGTCTTTGTCCCTCAGACTATAAGGATATGGGAATGAACCCAGGATTGGTATTAGTTGGGCTGCAAATTTCTAGAAAATCTCTCAGTAGTGTCCGGACCCCACAACTTCCCCCCCCCCTAACCCAACATTACACAAGTTGACTAGAAAATGTTTATTGGACAACAGAATGAACCCAGCATTGGAACCCCCGGGGGCAAATCTCCTTAAAATCTCCACAGCGTCCTGACCCCACAACTTCCCCCCTAACCCAACATTACACAAGTTGACTAGAAAATGTTTATTGGGCAACAGAATGAACCCAGCATTAGAAGGGGGGCAAATCTCCTTAAAATCTCCACAGCGTCCTGACCCCACAACTTCCCCCCCTAACCCAACATTACACAAATTTACTAGAAAATATTTATTGGACAACAGAATGAACCCACCAATGGTTGGGGGGCAAATCTCCTTAAAATCTCCACAGCATCCCGACCCCACAACTTCCCCCTTAACCCAACATTACACAAGTTGACTAGAAAATGTTTATTGGACAACAGAATGAACCCACCAATGGTTGGGGTGACAACAATAACTGTAGAACAATTTGCCCACGACATTTCCATCGACTAGGTAGCTCAATCGCTTAGAGAGATAGTTTAGCAGTCTGAAGTTCAGGGTACGAACCCCGGTCTAGCCTCAAAGTATCTTTTTTACATTCGGAACACTGTTGTCAATTATATTTTGTTTGTAGTTTATTTCATAATTATTATTTTTCATAAAAGGCAGTGATATGGAGATCCTTAACTCATTAACCCATGAAGACACATTTGAACTCTTCCAATGCAAAGGTTGGAATAGTTCATTATGAAATTTCAGGGGTGAATGAGTTAATCTGAAGTCAGCTAGGTCATAACCAAACTTTCCAACATAATGTTACATTTTTTTGGTAGTGGTACAAGGACCCTTAAACCAGGTTAGACAGGAAAGGCGTCATTGAGTATTTAAAGGTTAATCTTATTACCATGGACATCAACATCTACAGCACACACCAAAACACCTCTATACAAATTGTCATGTTTAACGACCTTCACCTAGAACCAGTGGTCGACTTGATCAGTAACTGTAATGCAGTCACCTAGTTCTCCGAGCTAGAGGGTTGAAGTCATCAATAATTAATCACGGCATCTCAGTGAGGCAGCTGTGTGCAATGTCAGGCCTATATCAGTAATATTTCCATCTGATGATGGTTAACCATAAGTATATTGGTAAATTTATAATCTGATCTCTCCTTCAGGAATCTACGTGTATCACTTACTATAACAGTTAGATACTTATGATTCTTTTGTTAAATGTCCATTATGGTTATACAATATATTATCACTATTTTCTCATAGTCGTTGGTATATACATTATACATTTTATTGCCCTTACTGTAGGGAATCATGATTCTTTGCCTGTGTGAAACATGATTTACCTCAGTGAAACAAAGAATTGTGTTTCCCTTCAGTAAGAGCAATAAATATATTATTACGCTGAAAAAACCAAGCAATAGCACAACTGAAGAGATGGCCATGTTGACGCACCATTGTTGTCGTCTGCTTCCGTATTTCGCAACTAGGTTTCGGTGGCTCTTGCCCACTTCTCTAGAGAGGATCCGAATAAAGGAAATATGATCGAGGAAACTTGAGCATGTGAGGGCGACATGATGTTTTATTACCCCTGTTTTAAGTATCATCCAATCAGACACGCTGTTATACAGATGATGTATAATAATATGTAAGGTAAGCTTACTATTCAATAACACTGTCTAATCCGTTATTACTTCGTCAGTGCCGAAATGTGATATTTTTCAATTGATTCTATATTGTGATGTCACAGTTATGGCCATATGTGTATTGAGGTCAACAGGGCAGAGAACTATCATATCAATCTCATCACATGAGTAATCAGGAATGGTGAGAATACATAACATTAAGAAAATTATTTGATTTTGCAACTACCAAGCGGTTTTTATCATATCAGGTGAGTTTGCGATCTGGTTTTATCTTATTTTCAAATAGAGCAAAAATCCTTTTTTCGACTGAATGTTTTGAAAAAAAACCCAATTATTTACCTCAGTAACATCTTGTGATATCCGATGGAAATAAATCTGTATGTCCCATAGGAGGCGCAAAATGAAAAACCTCAAGCTTATGACAAAGTGTTAAAATTTCAAATCGCAAATACAAGCTTTCAGTTTTGGAAACCTCATCGCTAATGATTTTGACCAAAACAATTCCTGCTATACCGTGTATGACAGCATAGCATATTTTCCCTAATGTGCTTTACAGGAAGCAGACATTTAACTGAATTGGCCTTAGTTGACATTTGATCCAGGGAAAAAGTCTGGACCAATCAATAGGTAAAGAACAGGAGGACACAAGACTGGAGTTCTCACAGCTGTTCGGCACTTTAAAGGTGTGCCACAAAACAATTAAAACAAAGGGCCGTGTCACTGTTCCGTAGTGTGTTAGAGATGATGGGCTCGTGAAGGGCCATCTACCACCAGGGGCTGCTGAAATCAATTCTGGATAGATCACACCATGGCACAGCATTATAAAGTCAAGTATTTTCTGAATGAATAAAACTTGTTATCATATTTTAGATTTTATCAAATTTATAGTGTTTTGTTTTTTTGGGAGGAGAGGAGGGGGGGGGGGGGGAAAAAATTTTTTNTATTTTTGCTCTAAATCATACTTCTGTTTGTAAGACCTACATGTTCTCCTGCTTCTTGATACAAAGAACTGAATCTTAATGCAATGTTTAACTAGCGTATAAGTCAAAGAGACCTATATTTTGATATATTTGTATGGCATCCTTCAGGATGAGTCCAGTTTTCACTGACAGACAATCAGAGCGACTGAGTAGCAAACACTATGCTGCAAAGGCATAAACATATTACTGTGTTTACATGACAACAACACTTATTACACTGATGTTATTTTTTAACTTCACCTTTTTATATTCATTGGGTTCTTTTTATTTTTAATATATCGTGAAATCTAATAACACGCTTCACCTTGCATCTAACGTTCTAATAATAATTCCAAGATGGCAGACATGTGAAACAGTCCTGTGGTAAATGCATATTTTTTGCGACAAATGACCTTTCAACTTTTTCCAGTTTACCAGAATTGTGCATGAGGTGATATAAATATTCTCATTTTAAGGATCCTGTCCCATTATGCACTGCTTTTCCTTCATACAATAATCTCCCTTTTGCATTCGTTAGGATGTAACTGTAGAACAGTTTGGCCAGGACACTTCCAATGACTAGGTACAGTAGTTCAATCGGTTAGAGCCCTAGTATTACAACCTGAAGTCTGGGGTTCGAATCCCGGCTAGCCCCGCTGAATTTTGACCCTCAAAACTCTGTTGTTGATTAACAATAGTTTGTAGCACCTTTAACATTTCTCATTTAAGTCCCTCGATGTATTGTTTTCTTTCCAGAAATGATTTATCAAAGTTATTGTCATGCATGACAAAACAGGTTTCCGTCACTGCGTTAAAGTTTACAGGGATCCTTATAACGGTTGACAAAGGTGGTTGGACAATTGTGGTTCTCCTTGTACACTTAACCCTTCCACCCCTATGTAACTTTAGTAGACTCTGCCATGCATTGGGTTAGTCCATTATGGTTTACAGTGGTGAAAGGGTTAATTTGTAAGTCATGTTTGGGTAGGAAAATACAACATTATACTTACAGTTCCATGACCAGGTAGACATTGTTTTTTTCTTCGAACACATCAAACAACTGTACGATGTTGGGATGTCTCAATCTGAAAGAACAAAACAGAAAATCTTATCAAGCATGCTGTTGACACAGACTAGTGTTTTTGAAATTTTCTTTGTAAGCGATGTCAGAAAACTACTATAACTCGGAGATATTTCAACTCATAAAAAATCCGGAATGGTTATGTGCTAGATGCAAAATGATTAATACCTTTCTAATGAAATGTTTCAGGTAATTATCAGCATATTGACAGGCCAGATTTCAGTCAATGAAAGCCAATTAGCTCTCTGTGCAAGGTCAGTTGGTTTTGTACATTCTCTATATATGATGTGGTGGATGGTCAAGTGGTCAAAGGACCAATGACCAAGGGTCAGTGTTAGTAATGGCTGAAAAAAACCCACATAACTGGACCCTACAATACATTTCATATCCTAGAGGAAATGAGTTATGTCAGGATTGGACTCCAGGAGCCATCTGTGTTACATTACGTATCATTAAAAGGTATCATAATAATTCCCTTCCTGTACTCCTCAGGTCAGTCGTCAGTCCTGGCCTAGTTTACACACTAATTGTGTTCTATTGCAGAACTTACACGTTCTATGTTTTCAAATATAAACATGATAATTAAATAGTTTTCTACCTATCTAAGAATGCATGCATTAATATTCAATGTAATATTCAACACAATACAATGGTACAAAAACAGTTTACTGTATTCCATCTCAAAATTGAACTGTGATTTTTTACTATTCTATCCCAAATAAATCATTTTTTGTATTCTTGTATATACAGATGTATCAAATTTGCACCAACTTTTCTCCCCATAGGCATCGTCTTTCCCAATATGAATCTATATCAGTTTATTATATTTCACCAGTAAAACTTACTATTCTTTAGATTTTCAGTGGCAAAACTTTCTCAGTTATTTAGACATTTACCAGTGAAAGAAAGAATATGAGTTTTATTAAACAACATTTAATATAATGCCCTATCAAACTAAAGCAATCTATTCTAACGCTCTTTACATACAAAGATATACAATTCATACAATAAATTATAGGATCAATACAATTTGAAGATTTTGAAAGAGCTGCTTTGTAATCAGGCTATAACTACTGGTTCTATGCCACCTTGCTAAATACCTCCCCATGTCTGCATGCCTTGATGCATGCTGAAGGCATATTAGTGTTCTATTTTGCAAAATAACTGATTCCAACAACATCTTTTTGACTTAATGCCACCTCATTTGAATGTTACAGCACACACACTGTAGGACCCACACTGGATCGCTTTATTCAACACCCAGGTTATTCACCAGAGTTGTGTGGACAGGTGGAACACTCTTTCTCTGAAAACCAACGGTCTGACAACCTTTGGGATCTTGCCTTGTCATCTGCATGTAGACTGGAGTGTTAACCACTCACTTATAAAGATGAGGTTTTTCCATTGTGAAGAACAACACTTTTAATATTTGTCACAGCATAACTGTCCAACCACATTGCCACATTTACTGTGAAAAATAACAAACTGAAGGATTCCCAAAGGTTTTAATTGTGAAACACGTCTTATAATAAAATGAATAACAAGTGGTTATATTTAAAAGTGGTTTTTATATTCTTGTGATTTATGAGGTGGAATTTATAGCGTCTGATAAATACAGGTATCATCTCATTACCATACCTGTATATTAACATGTACCTGGGAAAATCATCTAACTAACAGCATGATAACTTATTATACAGCAGAGAACTCATTATCTAGCTGTACATCTACCTGAGAATTATGAAATGTTCGTACAATTCCAGAACTCGTTACCACACCTGTTGATCATGATCTACCTTAGAATTATACCTATATGTATATGACAAGTACATGTATTATTATTTAATGAATCTCATTATATTTAGTTCATAAAATACCAAGCATAATCTACATGAAGCTAGATATTACATTGAAAAGGATTTCTTCAAAACCACACTGATGAATAACAGTTAAGTATGTCCATTCTTTAGATTTCTGGGATCTTACTTGATCTAGAGCAGGATTTATGTGATCCATTCTCTACTACAGAGATAGGAATCTCTTTTCAAAACAGCTCCTCACAAAGAAAACCATAAAAGGTCCGTCACAGAGTTTGTTTGTCTTTGGCTTAAGAATTGATGACACATTAAAAAGTTACAGATACAGGTAAATGCATTGATAACAATCAAGCCATCAGAAAAGAATGAAAGTTTTCTAAGGGAGATAACTACAACACAAAACATTAGAATTGGATATAAGGCAGCATATATCCTTAACTCTAACACAAAATACAGGTAAAATGTGAAAAGGTAGCATATATTCTTAACGCTAACACAAAATACAGGTAAAACGTGAAAAGGTAACATATAACTTCAATGCTAACACAAATCGACGGTGTAACATATTCATGAATCATGTAAGGTAGCATATAACCTTAAGTCTCACACACATCACAGGTATTAGGTGTAAGGTAGCATGTCCCCTTAACTCTAACACACATCACAGGAATTAGGTGTAAGGTAGGATGTCCCCTTAACTCTTACACACATCACAGATATTAGGTGTAAGGTAGCATGTCCCCTTAACTCTAACACACATCACAGGTATTAGGTGTAAGGTAGCATGTTTCCTTAACTCTAACACAAATAGCACGTACAAGCAGGATGTAAGGTAACATGTTTCGTAACACGAACAAGATTCATAAATATATAAATATATGAAATCAGTGTCAGCTTACATCACAATGTATACAGAACGGCTCGACTGCCTATATACAAAACACAGAAACGAGCGAATTCATTGATATTTTGCCATTACTGACATTATACAGGAACTGCATACATTGCACACCCTGTAATTCAAAAGAACTGTTTCCGATATATGTCTCATGAATATGTATAGAGTTTTAAAAAACAAGAGGGCCCAATCAATGGCCTCAGCTTTGTGAAGTATACATCAAAGAAAGCGACAGGCCAGGCGCCACCACTTCAGAAACGACCTCTAACAGAAGTGTTGGGGCCCCAAGTGTATTGATAATCTGCCAGAGTTACATTCACAACAATCATTGTCAGGAGAGTACATGTAGAAAATTTACCGCCACGATTTATATGCGTAATGATAATGTATAATGCAGATTTTTTATCAATATTGTGTGATTATCCCGTAGTTAATGCCACTCTGCTTCCCTCTTGTTATCTCTCAAATTAATGGTCTCCGTTCCGTGTATTGATCACATTTCCCTTTAATTCCACTTTCCATTTATTTACCAAATAATTTCCTCTTTACAGCAACAAATAATCCAAATCCTACTTAATTTGTAAAGAGAAATATTTCTAATCTCCAAGGTGACTCCATGGTGACTGAACTATTTTTCATCTCCATGGTGACTGAAATATTTCTAATCTCCATGGTGATTGAAATATTTTTGATCTCCATGGTGACTGAAATATATTTGATCTCCATGGTGAATAAAACATATTTCTAATTTCCATAGTAAAATAATACTTTTAATCTCCATGGTAACAATAATGTTTCTAATCATCATGGTGGCCAAAATATTTCTTATTTCCATAGTCACTGAAATATTTCTAATCTCCATGTGGAATAAAATATTTCTAATCTCCATGTGGAATAAAATATTTCTAATCTCCATGTGGAATAAAATAGTTCTAATCTCCATTGTAGTAAGAAAGATTCTAATTTCCCCGATGACTGAAATATTTCTCATTTCCATGGAAACATTTGTAGTATGACTAATCTCACTTCTATGTCACATTTTCAATTTTGTATTCATATCAATGAAGTGGAATCTTCAATTCAAACAAGGAAACAATACATTTTGACTGTATTTCCAGATTTCAAGAAAATTTCAAATTTTCTAATCAAAATGTAGAATTCCATTTTCTTTATGATGAGACTCATATATGCCTAAATACTTTGCATTACCCAAAAGTTAAATATCATCATTGATCTATCAGTGGGACCTAGAATCTAACTTAAACAGGTATCAATAGTATACAGTTACATAGGAATGTGTACAGACCTAGAGGGTCTGGTTTATACAGGTATCAATATTATACAGGGTTTCATAGAAATGCATATATTGGGACATAGAGGGTCTGGTTTATACAGGTATCCAGATTATACAGGGTTCCATAGAAATATATACATTGGGAGGTAGAGGGTCTGGTTTATACAGGTATCCAGATTATACAGGGTTGCATAGATATATACACAGTTTCTAAGTGAAGGTCTGGTTTATACAGGTATCCAGATTATACAGGGTTATATAGAAATGTATACAGTGGGACCTAGAGGGTCTGGTTTATACATGTATCCAGATTATACAGGGTTGCATAGATATATACACAGTTTCTAAGTGAAGGTCTGATTTATACAGGTATCCAGATTATACAGGGTTATATAGAAATGTATACATTGGGAGGTAGAGGGTCTGGTTTATACAGGTTTCCAGATTATACAGGGTTGCATAGATATATATACAGATTCTAAGTGAAGGTCTGATTTATACAGGTATCCAGATTATACAGGGTTATATAGAAATGTATACAGTGGGACCTATCAGGTGTGGTTTATACAGGTATCCAGATTATACAGGGTTATATAGAAATGTATACAGTAGGACCTATCAGGTGTGGTTTATACAGGTATACAGATTATACAGGGTTATATAGAAATGTAGACAGTAGGACCTATCAGGTGTGGGTTTTTACAGATTTATGAAAAGATTTATGACGTTCAGTTAGCTTCATCCAAAATAAATATGCTCAATATCTGAATAATCAATTCTTTTTACCAAGAACAGCCAAGTTTTGATGGACAAAGTCAATATATTATCTTATACATATAACAGAACCTGGTTTTACCATTTAACTTTTCCTTTTTTTTTTTAGTCAAGCTTTTAAAACATTGCCTTATTCTGAAGACACTTTCTGAAGAATGCTGGCAACCACCAGAGTTTAAACAGAAGATTGATCCGTCCGGACAGAATATTACGTAACAACC